CAATTTGTTGATCAATATTACGAAATGAAAAACAATCAGGAAGGCTCGTATGGAATAATGAACACTGTATTTATAAGTTTCCCATAATTATAGAACTATGTTCAACTTTACAATGCGTGTTACACAATATTACAGTGATCGTTAGACTGTTAAGAATGGGTTTGTCTCCCAGGTGACAGAACAGGTAGATAACAATTTGATGAGCGTCTGGAGTTTTACCTGGCGCCCTGTGCCTGACATAGAGAGTCGATATATGATACCGTATGACTGTTATGAAAAACAACCAGACGTTAAGTATTTGTTATTTGCTTTTGTTTTGGTCTACAGCTCCCTTTCACCTGGATTTCCATACCTTGACAAGGTGCCCCGGGTGGGGAAAACTACGGTCCAGGTACATGTACAAAGTAGCTGTGTTTACCTGTATATGGAATCGTACGCGTGTCTATATATGTTATAACTTTACATGTGTCGATTTGGATCGTTTAAAAAACACCGAAATACCATTTCTAAGTTTAAGAAAGTATAGAAATATCAGCTTATATATGTAGTTAGAATATAGAAACATGCTAAAACAATCAAGTTTATATGTTTAAACACGAAACCGTATATATTGTTAAGCCATTCCTCAATTTATACCGACCACGATTGTCATCGCACAACTTTTGTCCTTCGTTCGGACAAATGTGCGCAAGCAATATCCGTCCAGATTTTTATCGTTCACACATCGTGCACACATCGTGCACACACCGTACGCACATCGCGCGTTCACTGCACATCGTGTAACGTTGTTCGATCCCACAAATGTATCTGGTGATATCGTCTTTCCTGGGGTGTTAGTGGATAATGCATTTTTACAGAGCGAACCAAAATTCAACTCATACACTCAGGCGTTCATAAGTTGAATGCCTACAATTTCATTCAGTCATATGTATGCTGAATAGGCTCGTCACTATTAAATGATTTTGTTACCAGGTGTAAAGACTTGAAATACGTACATATTATAATTACTCATAACCAACATTTTTCTGCTTTTTTCTTCTCTCAGTGTATTTTGATTTTGTTTTATAATTAAAAATATTAATTATGTAGATATTGCTTAAAAGAATAAAAACAGAAACATAAAAGGGTGTTGACGTAGTGTTGGGTGTATGTTATTGGATAAGAAGTTGATTAACTTGACCTGAATAACTACACGTAACGAGATTTAAAGTGGAGATCCTTTACACATACGCTAAACTTATTGATACATTTGGGTAGATACTTTTTACCTCACAAATAGAAATAGAAAAAATGTAAGACAAAGTTGACTCCAAACATTCTGTTTCTGAATAACGAAGTACAGGGTTTCCCCCTTTTTTAATCTGTTTTATTTTTAAAAATATTTTGGCAACAGTGAAAATAACATACGCATCAAATGTTTCAAGAACTTTAATAAACTTGAATACAGTATTATATTTCAAAATGACATGCAAGAAGATCCAAGGTACATGCAGTTCCAAATTAATTTTAAAGGATTGAATAGGATGCCCGTGTACACAGATATTGCTGCTTCTTTACCCACATCACTACAATGTGAAATAAATTGTGGTAAACATAAAATATAGTCTATCTACAAGAAACTCAAGATCTTTTTTTTCTTAAAAATGAAATATTGTGATCTCTAAAATTTAAACTCGACAGGCAAACATTACAAAAAATATATTTTTCGTTCATTAGACCACTTGTAGAATATGCTGATACTGTCTGGGATAGCATTCCCAAAGAATATATTTCTAAACTAGAGAATGTTAATTTGGAAGCTGCTAGGATTGTTTCAGGTTCTACTAAACTTGTAAGCTTAGACAAACTATATACAGAAGTTGGATGGAATATATTAATAGACCGTAGACTCAATCATAAATTGTTACAATTCCATAAAATGTTTTATCAAAATACTCCAGAGTATCTCTATAATCTCTTACCTAATTCAGTTTGTGATGTTCATAGTTATTACACCAGACTTTCTGACCCGTCATGTCTGACACCTATTTTTTGTAAAGCAAATATTTATATTAATGCATTTCTTCCATCTGCTGTAAACAATTGGAATTCTCTTCCATTACATATTAGAAATAACCCTTCCATTTCCAATTTAAAAGCCTTTCTGAAATCTAATAGTAAAGCATGTCCACCTTCATACTACTTTCAGGGTTCACGTCTGGGTCAAATTTACCACGCAAGACTGCGTATGTCATGTAGCTCCCTAAAAGAACACTTGTTTATGAAAAACATCATACCATCACCGAATTGTTCCTGTGGTGCCATTGAGAACTCAACCCACTATTTGCTTAAATGTAATAAATATACAGCCCTTAGACAACATCATATTCTGAGTTTGCCGAATCAACTATCTACTAATCCTTTGGTGATGACTCTCTAACCCATCAAGAAATCACTACAATTGTTCTAGCCGTCTAAAATCATATACTCAAAACTAACAGATTTCAAATATATACGAATAGTCCTTTTACAATTTTATTTTGACATATATATATACTAGCGTAAAAAAGAATGCGGAGAATTGTTATAGAACATGTATTACCAACTGTATATACATTCAAATTTACACACATGACCGAGTATGACACATACACACTATCCGTGTGTCATTGAAAGTTTTTCCCATGCAGTTTGCTCTCTATAGGCGTTGACCAGTTTGCACGTTTTTCTCGTCCAGCCATCCAATTCGACAATGAAAGTTTATTTTTCAACTGTTGGGTCACTCTGTTGAGACCAGTGAACAGTAAAAACAGCATTATAACGTTTTAATTTGTGATTAATGCTATGCCGAGGCTCGATGAAAATGACCGCCTCCGGATTATTGGTATGCTTCAAGCAGGTATTGTCTCTACACGTTTTCATGTCCATCGAAACACAATCCGGGATTTGTGGAGACGACATCAACAGTTTGGCCACGTCGGCTATCGACCTCGTGCGGGACGTCCACGTGTGACGTCACGTCAACAGGACAACCATATTCGGCTTGTCCATTTGAGAAATCGCTTCCAAACGGCAAGTTTGTCTGCACGGATTGCGTGAACGAGCTATCCGTCCGCGACGTCCTGCAATCCGCCCAGTTCTTCTGCCACGTCATCGTGTAGCACGTCTAGACTGATGCAGAAGGTATCTGCGATTTACTCGACGGGATTGGGCAGGCATTTTGTTGACGGACGAGTCACGAGTCCACCAGGATAGTAGTGACGGCCGTTCCAGAGTGTATCGTCACGTTGGAGAACGTTTCCGTGACGCGTGTGTGGTACAACGTCGTTCTTTTGGTGGAGGCAGCGTTATGATTTGGGGCGGCATCACAGCAAACGGGAGAACGCCTCTGGTGGTTGTTAACGGGGATTTGAACGCGCTACGTTACCGTGACGAGATCCTCCGGACCCACGTTGTTCCATTCGTGCAAAGGCAACAACGTCACGTTACGCTACAGCAGGACAACGCCAGGCCACACGCAGCTCGTGTCGCTATGGACTTTCTGGCCCAGCAGAACGTTGACATGTTGCCCTGGCCTGCTGTATCCCCCGATCTGTAGCACATTGAACACGTCTGGGATGAAATGAAGCTCAGATCACCGGCATTACCTAATCAACCGGTGACGTTGGCTGATTTGCCTGCAGCGTTGGTACAGATCTGGAATGCCATACCACAAGCATTCTTGAACCGTTTGATAGGTTCCATGCGTCGACGTTGCCAGGCTTGCATCCAGGCAAACGGTGGACATACGAGGTATAAACTTTGTGAACTCAGTATTGACCCCTGCTGTGTTTACGTCACTCCTGAACGGAACTAAATTGTCCCTGGAAACCTTGTTGTTCTACGTTATACACATTTATTTTTATAACACATTTTAGGAATGCACAGTTTCTTTTTTGCGCTAATATATATATATGTTGTGTTGCATTCGTTTAACTACTATGTTTTAAAAATGTATTCAGATTGATATGCTTATTCAGTGATTTTGCCATTGCATTTCTTTATATCATATTATGTCACTAATTACTGGCCATGTTTATGATAGATTGACAAAGTGATGTGTTACCTTGAAAGAGCAGGACGTGCCAGGGACATGGCGGGAAAGTGATTTATGGACTTATATTTGATAAGTGTGATGGCTAGTATGTGAACTGCAACGTTTTTAATAATCATGGCGGTGCCTTGTGACATACTTATTTTGTCAATAGTTGATTTAGTGGTAATTTATGCTATGTAACTTGCATATATATTTTAACCTTTATCGAGTGTCCATTTACAGCAATGCTGAAATTTTCACCTACTATTGCATAGTTATATTTTACAGAATCGTGTTCCACATACTCATTGCAATATAGCAATATGATATTACCATCTGATGATCTCATGTATATTGATATGTAATTCATTCTTGGTTTCCACTGCTTACCAATCCATTACCCCCTCCCCTATTCCCGTAATTGTTCTGTTGTACATACATTGTATAACTTCATTCCTGTAGCTAGTGTTGAAAAGTTGATTATTAAGCAGGTAACAAACTTACATAAGTGTCACGACACTTGTTTTTAATTCCTTTTCTGTTCTATAAAACATGTACTTTGATGTATTGTCGAACAAAATTTGAATAAAACAAATTTTAAAACAAATGCCTAATGTTTTTACTTTCCTGTGAATCTCGATACTGTTTTATTCAGTGATGCCCCGTAATATTAGAAATCTTTGGTACGAAATATTCGTATTTCATAATTTATAACATTGCGTGTGCTAGTCTCGAATACTGTAATACAGATAGTCTTGATTTGAACCATGATGTGCGCTTGTGTTGGTATTTCATCAGATTCACTTATGTTAAAGTAATCAAGAACAAACCGGGTTTGGGCAATCCTTTGATTTACTCCAGCTATTCTGTTATCTCGCTACGGTCTAAATACTGACGCTGTCCTAGTGACAGTATCTAGGGTCACTGAGCTTACAATAAATAGCGTGTCTCTGAAAACAGCTCACTTCTTCAAACAAACCGACAGAGAAATATGTCGATATCCACCCTGCGCGTTACCCTTAATAATGGCAAGACCATGCCATTGTTTGGACTTGGAACTTGGCAGGTAAGAGGACTCTCTTTATACTTGGTAGCAGGAACTGAGACGTGTTTTCGTATTGTATTGTATTGTAATTGTGGTATGACTATTGTTGTTAAAAAAATAATTAAATGAGACCTTAACAAATATTGGACCAAGGTAAACAACAAATATCGTTGAAAGAAACGTATTTTTTAAATTAATAGAAACGAGACTGAATAGAATAGCTACATCAAACTGTCATCGTGGAAAAAACTCACAAGCTGTTCAACACTTTCCTTCATATGTGAATGCTTAAAGTCTTCTAACTCAAATGATAACGTAACTCAGATCAAATGATGTTTATTGTAACATAGATAATTGTTTATAAAACGAATGGTATTTTTACAATATCAATCTTAAATTTTGACTAAGCGACGCGATATTAGTGAGATAGACCTACCCTGGATAACCCTACTCTAAACTTTTAACTTACAACATTCTATATATGTGCGGTTTGCGAGTTACCCAAGATATGTTATCGGCCATCCCTCATTCTGTGTTCATATTATTGATTTAAGGGTTATTTGAGGTCAAGTCTCTTACCTTTTACCCTTTGCCAATATATTGAAGTAACAAACAGCACATCAAATCCATATATTCCCGTTTATCCTTAAGCAAATTCGACTCTCACTCTAGCATTTCCAAAACGGGTTGTTTGAAATACTAGTAGCGAAACAACGAATAATAAAACGTAATATTTGCTCGAAGCGATTGTGCAAAACAACATTGCTTGAATGTCGAGTAGAGAGATTCCTATAATATTTTACCACAACAATTATTTCTAAAAATTAAAATCAACTGTCAAAAAAAATGGATACATTCATTCGTCGTAATAATGTGATTTTAAAGGCATAGCACATTGATTTTATTGGTTTAGTTGATTGAAGGAAATAAACCACCCGTCAATTTTTGCACTCCTATATAGCCTGTTTTATAAATAATTGTTAAGTGATGCTTTAGTGTCTCAAGTTCTGATATATTTTCCATGTGTTAATCCCAACCGAGAACTATTGTGGGTTTTTTCCGAATGATTAGAACTAGGCTGTGGGTGTAGTTTCATAACGTTACCTTTATCCTACTAGGTTGATTTGTGATATCTACTAAAAGTTTAATGAAAGTACCTCTCTCCATACTCATATATACTTTTCTTACCTAAAAATATAGCCACTATATTGTAGGTAAGATGAAATTGGGAGTTTAATTTCTGAGTTTTTCCTGCTAGCAGTATGAAGATTGTTTTGTAATTCCTTTCTGGATTTTTTTCAAATATTCGTTAGATAAACATATTTCCTTTTTGACACATTAATAGCAAACTCATGAAGTCAACTCACGATTAATGTTCTTCACTACTTTTTTGTCCTTTCTACAACTGGAACATAAGAACATTTTGGTCCACTCTGCTGTTAAAAACATGTGCGCTTAATAATGAACACACTTGCTGAATATCACTTTACAAAGAACACCGATTAAAACATCTTCAGAGTAAACCCGAAGAAGTGAAGACGGCCGTCCGGACCGCTCTTGATGCTGGATACCGCCTCATTGATACAGCCTACAACTACCTCAACGAGGATGCAATAGGCGAAGTCCTAGAGGAAACATTCAAAGTTGGAAAATTGAAAAGGGAAGAATTGTTCATCTGTACAAAGGTAACGAACCGGTGTGCTAGAAAGCTTATGAATAGCGAATTTCTTTGACCAAGTGATGACGCGGAAAAATTGTCAAAAAAGGTAAATTGTAATATTCAAATTATTCCAAGGTAAAATATAACTGTTTCTTTCCGAATTAAAATTGAATTGAATTGAATTTAATTTTATCCCAATTTAAACAAATATAAGAACAAAGGAAATATTAACATGAACAATTATACAAAGTATTTCGGAACTTTAAATTCCAGAAGTAAGTAGAATATTTTGTCAATGAAATTGTGATGGTGACCATAGTCTTCATCAACATACACCCCGCAAGCTCCTATGTGAACGGTTTGTCAAGGCTATTCGGGAAAAAACAGTTGAATATCAAATCAACTTAAACATGTACATATGTAAACACCGTAGGTAGACAAGCAAATTTCACGATCGAAAAATCGACGTCATGACGCTTACTGAACAGGTTAGTGGTAGGTCGTCCTTATTGGTTATGTTAGTTATGATCGAGGTAAGCAGCTGATGTATCCTTATTTAAAGGTTCCAGGGAAGGGTATGTACGATCAACGTGATTGATACAACTTCCTGTTATCAATGACAAAAGTCATCGGTACATCGGACGTGAAGTTTTAAGATATTGGAAAGGTTTGTTCAGATATGTCTGTCCTGTTAAGCTCGTCAATACACGTACCTAATAAGAAAACAATACCAAGGCAGCAAGAAGAGGGCCACTGTTAGTTGTCATTTGGATGCCAACAGTCTGCTGCAAAATCCACCAAATCAAGCAAATATACTGTCAACAAGGCCCTCTCACTGTCATTGTTTTAATCCTCACGTTTGCTTGCCGTTGTCGTGTTTTACCAAACATGTTTCAAAATAGTTTAAGTATACAAACATATTCATATATGTATTAACCGTTGACAATACGATGTTCCTTTAGTTTAGTATATTTACATTCTGTATGCTTAGACCCATTGACAAAAATTACATTCATAAATGCATAACACAGGTGTTCATAGAATCTCAGCACGTGGGAACTGATAGTAACCTGATCACACTGCGTAGTAATACACTACAAAAACTACTCACTCGGAACGACCGAACTAGATGCTTAATTCTTACATCTTAAAATATTATTGAACTGTGCTTTGTGAAATATCCACGTATTCACGTGTCCTGTGCTACAAATAAACATTGAATATGGAACTACATTTTGTTGTGTTATTGTTGTTGACGGTTGCTAAGATCTCTCACGATAGTGTCACATTTCCCCGCGAAAAAACACTGTTCTCGCCACTGCGTTGCACCCGTGTATAAGCAGGAACAAACCCTGTTTATTTGTTTTATTCGTTGTTATATCGATCCACTGAAAGGATTCGTCAATGTAAATATAAGGAATGATATTTATTTTTTCAACATTTATGAGGTCATAACAACAATGGGTTTTTGGACATATTTTACATGAATCGCTAACGCGATTCATTCAATATGTCCATAAACCCATTGTTGTTATGACCTCATAAATGTTGAAAAAATAAAAATCATTCCTTAAATGACGTATGGCAGTGTGTAGAGTTTACATAACCAGATGTTCTGATGGAAGAGACGTGTTTGAGGAAATGATATAAAAGATTGTTCTCCAAGCTTCATAATCCTGTTAGACTTTGTAACATTTCGGAATACAATACAAACGAGACAGGTCCGTATGTTAAACATTAACCAGTATTCGGAGAGATAGTAATACAGAAGCAGTCGTAGCTAACACGTTGTCTTGCATACGTTTCCTTGGTTATCAAGTAAGCCTGTTCCTTTTGCAAGCGTATAAAGTGTTTGCAGACGTTATTAGAAATACCGTTGATGGTGATTTGGACTTCAATTTTGACTATATTTCTATTGTGGTTTTCCAAAGAAGCTATCACTAATTTGAAATTCACATTCCAGTTGGTTAAGTAGGAGCATCTCCATACCTTCTATACTCTCGTAGCTTCATAATTTCAATAATAATCAGGATTCTAGTGTCCACGTGTCTAGCTTGATACATAGTTGCCTGGGAATGTAGAACAATATTATGCTGATTGAGTAGTTATTCGAAGATCATATGAATATTGATAAATTACAGAAAGTGGTACTTTAATATTTGTCAAGTAAATTCAACATCTATTACATAAGCACATTCACATATAAAATATCATGATATCTGAAATAATTTCGCAATTTGATATTCTCAATTTCAACGCAAACTCGGAAAACCTATCAAATATCCATATATATTATATATATAGCTATTTTCGAATTGTTGATTACTATTCATATTCTGAAGCTATTTTTATATAATGCTATTTCCGAATGTAACCATTTACAAAAATTTCTTGTGAATTCAATGCATTTACTAAAAGAAATATAATTTCTGTTGATTCGTAAACTATATAAACATTATCTTGTTTATCTCCCTTTTTTAAAGCTCGCCAATATCTACACCAGACCTTCGGATGTTGCACATTCTATGTCCGAGAGCCTGCGAAAACTCAAGCTGTCTTATGTTGATCTATACCTAATACACGCTCCTATGGTATTGAGGGTGAGTATATACATGTAACTGCATTTATCTATATAAACTGATATTTTTATCAGTCCAGCAACGCCATTCTCTCGTTCGGATAACTGTATCATGTAGTCTCCATGCCCATTTATATCTAGTATCGCTTGTGTCATATCCCAATATTAATAAGACACTGTCTAACGGAAACTTTCCGTCATAGTTTAACTTCTGCCTTTTTCGCCCTTCGGATTTGAGAAAGCATTTATCACGACAGCTTATACAAGTACACAGCATACCATTTATGGTAATAACATGTGAAGGGCGAAAAAGGAAGAGGAAATGTTTGAGCGAAAGTTTCCTGGTATATAGTGGACGATCAAATTAAGTAAATTGTGCTTTCGTGGGTGATTTATACAAAACTAGCTAAGACAAAGGGTTTGACCAAAATTCTTTATTACAATTACTTTTTTGTTGTGATTCAAATTTATAAAATGTCAAGTTTTTATAAGTTTCTATATGCTGTCGCCACACATGACTAGTCATTACTAAGAGTATTGATACATGTAGCCACTGCAACCACAACATGTGTTGTCCATGTCCTGTCAACAAGCTTCGCCAAAGCATCAGGAATTCCCAACCCAGTAGGTTGATTTGGCTTTACTGTATGTTATTTATGTAAACACAGGTTCCAGATGACCCAAACAATGTATTTCCCATAAAAGATGGCCGACTTGACGCTGAAGACAGAGTGGACTTTGAGGGTGTTTGGAAGGTACGACTGTTACTTGTTTACTTACTCCCAGTTCTAGTGTTACCAAACATTGCACTAATACCCCACACCTTATACTAATAAGTATAAGTCTGGAAATTACTTTAATTTCGAGGGATACATATGTATTTATTTTGACGTTAATATACGCCATATATCAATCTCCAATTCATATCACACGTGATCAGTTATTAGCCGATGACGTACCACATAACGCATGTATGTACATTACATTAAACATAGAATCGTGTTGAGTTAAACCCGAACTAAAGTGCTAGTGAGTAAGAAGAGCTATGCGAGTTCGAGAAATGAGGTTAGCATGAAATTGATAACTTTGAGTATATGGCATCATGTTTAAATTAGATTGGTTCATTGGTTTTTAAGTGGGGTTACTGTATATCTGTTCAGTTCTGTACAATTCTACCTATACTTCTGGTCGTGTTCTAGGGTATTGCCTTTGTACTTCATTGTGCTTTCTAATTTTCAAAAAAAGCATAATTATTACATTTTGTAAGTAGCTTTACTAAATGTTCATAATTCTTTAAGGAAATGGAAAAGCTCGTCGACCAAGGAAAGACCAAAAGTATTGGCATATCAAATCTGAACGCCGCACAGCTGGAGCGAATTCGTAAGGTCGCACGCATAATGCCAGTGACGAACCAGGTATATACATATAAATTACAGATATCTGCACTTATATACATATATGTATTCAGTTTGCATGCGTAGTTTTATAACATCAGTCAGGTAATTTTAGCTATGAGGCATTTTTGATGTCGTTAATATGACGCTCGACAATCAACGTCATGTAACAAGGTGACTAACTAATACACAATCACACAGAGGACTACGATGAATGAATATCTGTACAGATCGTGTATAAGTCTCCTGACCCAACACATTGTTTTGTTACAGATCGAATGTCGTGGCATCTGCGAAAAACCCCAATCATTGATATGTAGTTACATGTCGAACGACACGCCTTTTGAGACAACCCAATCATAACGTATTGTTAAAGGTTAAATAACACGTCTTCTGGCAACGCCCGGCGTCAACATACTGATAGTGGTCAAGTACGCTTTCTAATACAATAGCTTGTTGATACATGTCGAGAATCATGAATACTTCCCAAAGTCATATATTTCTATTTGTACATGTTAATTGTTATGCCGTTTCACAAGATCAACTATGTTTTTTATTTGTACAGATTGTGTGACATCTATATGATCGTTGACTATTGATCCATGTATATACCTGAGACAAAGTAAAAGGGAATATTTTTCACAAATTTCGTCCAAACAATCCGTTTCGTTGGAATTCATAAATTCTTAATGACTGACTATATATAACAACACAATGACACGATACATTGTTGTGAATATTGTTAACCATATAGCGTCATGTTAACGTACCGTCATTATTTTGTCACCGAGTTCACAATTGTTGCTTATTAATTTCTATCATTATTAAAACACTCGACTGCTTTAGATTTGGAGAAGTAAACTGAACCATAAACTCGGACATTATTTACGTACTGGGGTTCTTCGGATTTGCTAAAAGTAAATTGAAGAATATCCTCAGACATTATCTAACCACGGAACTGCTTCAGATTTGGTAAAAGTAAATTAAACAATGATCTCGGACATTATTAAATTACAGGGCTGCTTTATATTTTGAAAAACAACTTGAGCATTATCCTTGGACATTATTTAAGAACTGGGTTGCTTTAGATTTATATTCATAAGGAAAACAAACCAGTTAGAGAGAAAACTTACGTTTTGCGATTTATTGGTTTATGTACTAGTTATCGTATGAAAGTAACCATCCATGCATTTACCCATACAAAACAAAGATGCTTTCTGATTTGTCAAACTTTGATATATATGTGCTGACATTACTTCGTCATTACTATAGGTCGAGTGCCATGCCTACTTCCCCCAGACAAAACTTGAGGAGTACATGAAAAAGTACAACATGCCGTTAATGGCGTACAGTCCTATTGGATCCCCTGGAAGGGCATCGGCAGCATTGTGAGTTAATTAACAAAGACTTCTGTCAGTATTGCAAATTGGTTGAGAATCAAAAATGGTTTGATTAGCGGAGTTACTTTCAGTTCTAACAAAACAAAAAAATACTGGAAATTATAGCTTGTCATCAAACTTTGCATAATTGTGTTAAATCAGGCTATCGTGCTGAAGTAGTACTTCTTTCACTTTATCGAAGTCTTTCTAGTAGAACAATGATGTCTTTTCAATGAAATATTGATCCATACACCACGTCATTCCAGACATCATACTTTGAACTAAATCTTGATTAGTCGAACAACACAAGCTGCATGAAGGATCACAGACATATAGAACTGGCGGTGGGGGTTGTCAATATAACGGTGTCTATTTGATATCTCCGCCTGTTACTCGAGTGGGGGCTTGAAGGTAAAGGTCGTCCGTTTTGTTTTCTCCACCAGTTGTTAATGGTGGGATTGTTGGATCTGTTTGGTCTGATACTGCTGTACTTTCTCGTTTTGTTAGATATCTAAATCTTCTAAAATATGTGGTTATTATTGTGCGTTACATGGGTTACGTGCGTTTTAAAGGAGTGCCTTTACATTTACTTACATGTGTTGCGTCATTGTATGTCTACTCTTCGATGTGTCTTACACAACTAATAAAGAATCGGAATCAGACTGTTTTTGCAAACATAAAAAAAATCAATCTTGTAATAATACGCCGTTTACTTTTTTACAGTGTTACAGACAAGTCAGACGTTCCTGTGTTGTTGAACGATCCTGTTATTGTGAAACTGGCCACGAAGTACAATAAGACCCCTGCTCAGGTAGATTTTATTTTTATTGTCGAAATAGCAATATTTGAAAAACATATGAATTTTCTCACATTAACGGTTGAATTGTGCTATACAACCCTCAGATGGTATTGCTATAATTGTGCTATACAACCCTCAGATGGTATTGTTATTCATTGTTGTTTTTTCACAGGTCCTTTTACGGAATTCACTTCAGAGGAATATCATAGTCATTCCAAAAAGTGTAACACCAAGCAGAATTCAACAGAATGGAAACGTATGATGAACTTTACTAATTATCTGCAAACAAAATTCAGAAGCATTACAGGAATAGGATATACAATTTACTTGTTTTGGTCAATTGACTATTTAAATGCACATTTAAGCATTGAGGACAGTCTTGTATAAATGTTTATAATTTACTCTTTATGATAAATCAGTGTTTTTAATTATTTATTATAAAATGTTTCTAAAATTTAACAAGAGTCTTAAACTTGTTTTGACACTAAAATGGCACTGTAACATACATACACTATGTGATATTAATATCTAGTGAATAAGACCCTCTGCGAGTTAACATCCGGGCCAAAAAGGGTGATTAAGATAAGCCGATAGTATTTGATTCATAATTGCTTTAAAATAAATAAAAAGTTTTCTTCTTTTTATTTATGGAATGTCGATACTGTATTGGCATGAATTAAACTACACATTAAAGAGAAGAGATCACAAGTTATATTATTTCATTTTATAACTATGATATTGCAATGTTTCCAGGTGTTCGATTTTAAACTTTCACCAGAGGATATGGCCGCTATTGCAGGAATTGACAAAGGAATAAGGATGTTTAAAACCGAAGCGTGAGTATATCACAATAATAACATACATTGTGTCGTGTTCAACACAACATCAACAATAATATGTAGTATACAAGATTAAACGTTAACAATAATAGACGAAACACATGAAAAATGTACATTCTATGCTATAAAGAAAAAATATGATTCCAACCAAAATTGGTGACATTATAGCAAAATACAAAAAACGAAAAAAATATATTCAACTTCACACTTCTAAATTATTCTATAAACGCGAAGACATTTAAAGATATGACGTCACCATGTGATCTAATCAATCTGAATTTAATTATTGACTTTTTCTTTCAGCATGGCAGCCCTTTATGACTATCCATTCAACAGTCCTGTGTAGAGATATGTTGGTCTCTCAACAGTCTTTTGAAGAGAAGTTTTGGTTTCTCAACAGTCTTGTATTATAGAGATTTTGGTTTCTCAGCAGTCCTGTGTAGAAAGACTTTGGCTTCTCAGGAGTCTTGTGTGAAAGGATTTCAGTTTCACAACTCAAGATGTGGCTTGACACAGAGCTTTCGAAACAATTAAACTATCACTACAGCTGATTTGAGAAATATGTTGTCTTTATGTAATTGTAATAGAACACTTACAAAGTATAAAAAGCAGCAGTTAAGGTAAATCAGAAATCTGGACTTGTACAATTTATAATTGATATTTATTTACATTTGTCGAAAAAAAAAATCCCCATCGATTACATTAACCAATCACATCAATGCTAAATTTGTATCTTTAATAAAGCACTCTTGACTTGATACAAACAGTATATCACTAAATATCAGCAAAAGTATGATATACATGAGTAATCAATCGAACTTACACATGAAATATCTAGAAATGGAAATCAAGGAAGCAGCTATCTATCAATTAAGTAAGTTCATTTAGTTATCAGTGGTACTAAATGTCAAAGAATGAATCACACATGGCCAAAGTTTTCAAAAGCATACTAGTAGGAAGAAATGCAGCAAAGGGATAAACGTGCATAAAAACCTTCATAACATTACAAAGTTAAAACCTTTGACTATAAAATTTTCAAATTAGTATTTTATTTTAATTGTGCCGGATAAATTTATATTTCAAATTTAATTCTATGAATAAAACCTAGTGCAAGAACATGTAAAAAGCTCAACTTCGACTTTGTTTGGATATTAAAACATCCCAAATATAGCTTGTTATGCATATGTAATACATTGTACATGTGTATTGTTACCAAATCGATCACGAAGATTTAGTTGTCTAGAAAGTGAGGGCTGTTCTTATATTTTCTTCGTAACACGTATCCAGCCACCATGTCACACTGTTTACCAAAGAACAAAAGAAGTAGCCATGGTGAACCTTGCGGATAGTGTAGTTGTGTGGAAAACGTAAAATATATATGCCTGTTTAATTTACATATGTTTCCAAAAACAGAAATGGTATCATTTTGGTGTTTTAGCTCATTTTGAAAACAGCAAATTATATTTGTGATTTACCTCTACCCCCTTTGGTACCCCAAAACCAAACTTTTGACAATAAGATATCTTTGAACAAGGAGGTGAAAATCCGAATATACCGAGGCCTTATAGACACTCATCCTTTCTAAAAAGAGAGGAGGAAGGACAGAGGGGGTCAAGGGTCACTTAACACCCCTATATATGATTTAGTGGCATATAATTACTGGGTTATGTTTGGTGTAGTTAGCAATACATTTTATACAAAATAGATATAAGGTATTAATATGCAAACAATCTCGTATCCTACCATATTGGCACTTCTAAAACTGGCGACCGGATTATACAATGTACACGCTTCGGATATTTTCACCTCTCTTTTAACGATTTCTTGACCACTTGCTACCATATTTATAACAATATCACACAATTACACTCGATTTTTAAATAGGCGGTATAAGACATACACAGGAAATCGCGTATCAAACACATAGGTATCGAAACTTAAGAGTTAATTCCCCTTTACCATCCACATACGGTTTTCTTTCAGCTTGTCTGGAACGTAAAGTATCGGGAGTGGAATCAAAGATCTGGTTTTACTCAGATTGGGTTTTATTTCAGAGACTAACAATGAAAAGCGTGTATATCTTTGTTGTTTGGTTTGGTTTGGTTTAGTTTGGTTTTATTTTATTTAACGTCCTATTTGATCCAGCACAGCATCCAGCCCGGTCACATTATACTGACCATGGGTAAAACGGTTGTTTTCTCATTGCCTTCCTCACCTGGGCGAACGCTCAACATTAAAGCAAGAACTGAGGTATTTCCAAGCAAGGCGGTAGGAAATAAAAGGTCAATAAAAATTGAAAAAATACCCCAAATGTTGCAATGGGTGTAGCAGATTTATTTTGGTAGTTTTTGTGTCCCCAAAAAGAGGGTACAAATGCAAGTTCCCAATTATGTAGGGGGTTCCCCCTTAAGTCCCCTCTTACGATACACGCAGTGGCTAACAGCAAGTTTATTCTGTTCTCGATCCCCGACATGCAAGGTTGTACCTTTGTTGTAATTATTCAATTCTGTTCATGTTTTATTCAGCAATGTTTAAGGTATAAAACGGTCACAGCTAGATATATTTCAGACTTGTAAGCACATCTTTAATGATTTTCGGATTTACATGTTTGAACTAATTACAATGTATTACAATGCTTTTTTATAATGTACAATTTAAATCTATTATGGTAATATGAAACAAACGCGAAATATTTTTTTCATAATCAAACACTTCTATATTATAGCTTTGAAGTGTTTTGTGTGATTCAATATGATGCACGGACTAGCTTATTTATACTAAACTTGTACATTTCCATTGTAGTTTGATATCTCCAACCTGTCTTATCTGACACCTGGTTAACATAACTTGATGAGCGATCCCCAGAAATACAATGTTGACAGAAGTTAGTTTGTAATTACACAGTGGAGTGAAACCAATCTTATCTAACAACACGGAAATACACTTAAATGAATGAACCCCAGAAATACAAGAAATACATTGTTTTGTAATTACACAGTGGAGTGAAACCTGTTTATCTGACATATGGGATATACACTTAAATGAATGAACCCCAGAAATACAAGAAACACATTGTTTTGTAATTACACAGTGGAGTGAAACATGTCTTATCTGACAATAGGATATACACTTAAATATGAATGAACCCCCGAAATACAAGAAATACATTGTTTTGTAATTACACAGTGGAGTGAAACATGTCTTATCTGACATATGGGATATACACTTAAATGAATGAACCCCAGAAATACAAGAAATACATTATTTTGTAATTACACAGTTGAGTGAAACCTGTTTTATCTGACATATGGTAAATACAATTAAATGAATAATTCCCAGAAATACATGACAGACATTATTTTGTCTTATCTGACACTTACACACGACACGTCTGATATTTGTACAAATATCATTATCGAATCAATACGAGTGTTACAATTTGTGTACTTAGTTTCCTGCAACTCGTCACCAAGTGACGGAAGCATTTTGTAACATTTATAACAATAAATTCAAACATGGATCTAACACTGGCAAGCAATTTAGTAGATCGAGCCCGGGCTCAGGATATAGATGGATTAAATTCCTGTCGCATTGAACTCGACACGAATACGTGACCCAATGCGTTATTCATCAGCTTTGATAAAACTTTCATTAGATCATTTACATTGATATGTTCAAACTTGCTTGCATCACGTTACGTGTTAACTCTCCATGTACAATGTTCACGCTTAAGAATCCCGGCTCGTATCACTGCAAATGATTAAGAATGTGCATTCAAAAAGTTGTTCCTTCAGAGCAATAGTTTTGATAAATCATTTATGAAAGGAACTTGAGGACCTCTAAAAAAAATATTAGAAATAAACAAAACTAATCCCTGACAGTGTTGAGTGATAAAATGCAGCGGAGTCAGCTAGCAAGGATTCGAACCCTGGGCCACATATTATTAAACTGTTTTCCTTACCAATTGAGCTACTTTGTCAGTTATATCAAAAAACGAATTAAATATGGTGTGACCCTATGTACGAAGAACTACAGTGGCATTCTTTAGAGTAGTGGGACAGGCATCCTTAATCAGACCATATAGAATATCCTATCACACATACTTCCAAAAGACTGAACAAAGACACATACTGACTACAATACACTGTTAACGCGTTAGATAATACAACCCCACATTATCATTTTAAATTGACATATCTGTAATAAGTCATCGGCTACACCCGATACCGTTAGTTATTAGATCCTTATTTCTGGTCGGGATTGTATTCGTGATAAAATCTAGAGATCCCAACGTTATGGCTCTGTCGAACCGTAAACAAGATTGACCTTTATTAGTATTAGGAATCGGCTAGAAACTATTTACCCACATGACATCGGCTGATCGGGTCCTTGACTTCAGTCTACGTGGATCCCTACAATGGTTAGAGATCATTATAAAATCTCTCACAATCAACATGTTCCACATTGCATAAACTCATTATCAGACTACATTTTCCGCTAACAGATACCAAGTCGGATTTTGAACTATTGGACTAAATTATTATACATGCACCACTTTTGATAGAAATTCTGTGTACTATGTTTTGATGAAAGATAAGGCGATTAAAAAAGCCAAACAAAACAAACACTACTTAAACAATATGGTCTCTTCGTTATATCATGACTCATCTGGATGAAATGGAAAGAAAATCAAGTCTCGAGTATTCCAAGCAAATGAGGATATATATCAAAAGGGGAAATGTGTCTAAAACCCTCTATTATGTAAAAAATTACAACTTTTGGAGAGAACAGAAAAAGTGTATAAATAGCTTAATTAAAGTAAAGCATCCTATGTATATAGCTATGTTCTTTAATAAAATGATATCACCAGTTGTGTTACACTTGAACGAAAATAATAAGTATATAAATAAGAATAAATCAATACCGATGAGTTATACCAAACCAAAGTGTCTGTAGTAAGGAGGGTTGACTAAACCTCGATGGAAAACGTATTCAATGTTTTTTCTCCAAATAAAACATAAAGTAGACTTTTCAACAGATATGCAGGCTAACAACTATAAAACAATTTACCGTCTGAAGTCTGGCCAGTCAACATTTTGTATTTATATTGGATATACGTGTTAGTGTTTGTCGTTAGGTAGGGACAATGTGTTCTATAGGGGTTTACTGGCACATATTGACACTGTGTCGGCAGGTTGATATAGGGCTACATAGGAACTCGATAACAACCTTTCTCTAGACTGTTTAAACGTTTTCTTGTGTCAAGCTTGGAGGTTAAACACGTGATAATGATGTTATATATATATATACGTGTTAAACACGTGATAATGATGTTTTATATATGTACGGCACACCAGACTGCTGATCATGAGCTGGCAATAGATTACCGACCGGTCCACCTTGAACATTTGCTGATGGAGACAAAATGGTAACGGTAGATCAGGTGTTAAAATCCCGTTTTGTAATGAAATAAGGAAGTTTTCAATGGAATGGACTGGATCTGATTGATGGTAAGATATATGTTCATGATTAGTGTGTATTATTTATCAAATGAACTACAGAGAAATTCTAAGAATATATCAATGAAGTATATATTTATTAAACTATGCATCAATTAGCTACAGAATTATGAAAATTACATACCATGAGGCTACAAAGTAATAGTAATCATATATCAATGAACTACAGAATAATAATAACTATATTCCAATGAACTACACAGTAATTATAATTATATACCAATGAACTAAAGAGTCATACAATGTATAAATCAAATATCCATGAACTACAATGAATAATACAAATCACATATAAAAGAGCTTTACTGATACTGATACACGTACAAACTAAAGATTAATACTGATTGTACAAGTGTATACATGTATCAATAAAACGTATTCGTTCTTAATTTCAAATCATGTCTTTACCAGTGAAATCCATCCGTATGATATTTTTCTGTAGTCAAATTGATAAAAAAATGCATAATTTATGTTAAAGTTTGACTATTACTCGCCAAACGTAACTTACTTCCAATCATTTCTGTGCACAGCATGCTCGTACGAAACCACTACTGTGGAGAGTCCCTGTATAATGTCACGTGCTTCCTAGCCAAAACTGATCTCCTGAAGCCATGGCCACTCTTCGAATGTTCATCATTTCTTTTATTTACTCATTCGTTTCAGCGGTATGTACCTAGATAAACCTGGTTAGATTTTGTCTAAATTGTGATATCCCCGCGCGATGACACATTTAATTTGCATCATCAATATTGGACTACGTTATTATATAACATCAGCTATTACAAACATGAAAAACTTAAAGTAAACTTCCTTGTTCAGGTGACAACAGCGGCCTTTCGTCAGGTGTAACAGACCTTAGATGGCATTTAATGCTATGGGATATTGAATATATTTAAGATTTTAGTGTTCCATTCTACCCCGTTACCACTTCCCCTTTGAAATTTAAAACAATAAATATTGTAATCATCGTTATTATTAGACTCAATCTTCTGCATAACGTTTCGCTAAATCATTTTTTTGTTCGAGTTGGAAAACAATCAAAGATAATGACGTTAAGTCTTCTTTCAAAAGAATGTACCCCAGTCTCTTTTTAATGAGTATTTGTTCCATTGCAAGAAGCAAATCGGTGATGGTTATAGAAATGTAGAGTGAATATATGTGTGTCCACACAACGAAAAAACAGGACAGAAAACTTTCAGGGTTATCTGTACTTTAAGGATGCTTTGAATTACTCTTCCAATCAATCCCTGTTCTCCCAGTGATTGTCGTCCATAGTTGTAAAACAAGACCTGGTACTCCAATAACAAATATGTCATTGATGGCGAACAAAAATTGTGTTTATAAATGTACTTGATTTTTACAAACCTTTTCTATATTTATTGACTTCAAATCCTTTTGTTATAACATTTATAGTGTGCCTGTATAGATCGCTGTTTACACTACAGCTGTCTAGAGACATTTGAAGTGAAAGATATTTTTTGAAGTCAAACATGACTTTTTAAAAATTTATAAACGATTATAGGGACCAAACATGAAAAAAGCTACTAATTGATCCATTGACTGAACGCAGTTAATGGCTGGCAACCAGACGAGGAAGTTCGTAGTTCGAGATTTAAATGTCCTGTCTAGATCTATTACCTGTTGACGCTGATAATCGATACAGAATTATCTCGAGGGGATGTAAAGTGAGATAAATCGGTAGTAATCACAAACAGGTATTTATTTTTCTTGTGTGTCTCTGACAGAAGCCCCAGTTAAACAGTGCTCTAATAAAAATGACATTATTATATATGACGACGTCAAACGAATTACGACGTCGAAATATATGAGTGAACTGACACAACTAGATCAATGCTTTATTTTGTATTCTGTGATCAAAGTATGTTATAAGTAAAGAGAATTTTAATTTCAATAAGTACAAATAAACAAATTTACCATTTTCAATGACGTCGTTCCAGATGTGTTTGTCAGATGTATGAAATAGAGAGTTACCAACCTAATAGATCGCGGGTGACCTTTCCCTGCGCGGACTTCTGCTATACCCCTGGTAGCCACAATCATCTCCTTTGAGTATTAGAACGGTCAATAACGTACACACTTTACATATTATTGATTTTAAATTAGCTAGTACTCGCCAAATCCCTTACATTCATATGACCAATGGATTTTATTCACCTCTTCTTCTGTTTCAACAGTAAAATAGACCAATTTGGATTCCTCCCTCTTTTTGGCCCAGCATCATCGATGTACATTATATCCTTTAAAGACGAAATGGCTGTATGGTACGGTGTAATTCATTTTTGGCATGTTGTATCTATTACCAAACGGTACTGGTGCATTCGTATGTGTGTGCCAGAAACGGTACAGGTGCGTTCGTATGTGTGTTCCAGAAACGGTACAGGTGCATTCGTATGTGTGTTCCAGAAACGGTACAGGTGCATTCGTATGTGTGTGCCAGACGTTCACCTAATAGTGTAATAGTTTGTATACACTAGTTTACACACTATTGTTATATATTTATTGTTTCAAAAGGTTCATATCCCGGGGGCCTTTGTAGGTAGGGGACTCCCAATCACTTAGAAACCTGGGATATGGATACTTTCTTTTTCTATGATGATTATTACTGCTTTTTATTAAATATGGGGTTATCTTCCTTTCCTTGTAATATCATATGTTATTGTTAGTTTACATATGTTTGTCGCAATTATAGCGCTCAAGAGCTTATAATGTTCCTTGTTTACCTGTATGCGACGTTAAATAAATTTCTTGTATCTTGTTGTTAAGTTCCTTAAGTAATCATGACTCTACAAGTGTATACTGCATATATTTTCTTACAAGCAAATACTTTATGACATATAACTAAGTAACAATACATAGATTAGTTTACCACGCCTGTAGATCCTACTACTGTTTCTAATACATTATTTAACACCTTAGTGCACACCAATCAAATGTTCTCCCAAGCTTGACATAAAACTCATGATCACCTCAACGGAATGAAAGAACCGTCATACAGAAAATTAAATCCCTGTTATCGAATTAATTCTCTCAGTAAATACGACAGGTATACGTACACGAACATTAACCGACAGAATGGTTCTATGTACGCTGTATTTATAGAGCTGTGTCCCCCTGGTGTCAGGGACTAGCCGTATAACGTACGGAGTCCTGTTTACTAGGTGTTGTACCTGGTAAACAAAGCCTGGTACATTTGTCATTCGGTCGATAGCTTAATTGACGTAACTCTTACGTCGTGCATAGGGAATATCATTTACTTGTAATGTCTTTCTCTCGCATTCAGGTTCATATGAAGGCCAAACGGAACTGGAATCCATAATAACCGGTGGTTCCGGAGCATGGCTACTATAGCAGGACTATCTGTAAATGTAAACCTAACGACATGAAAAAGTGTGTGTTCGTAACTGATTGCCTTCATATGATTTGTGAATTTCTGGAATGCAATACCTGTGTAGATACGGACATTCTCCACTGAGAATCAAGTGCAGCTAAAATGCAAGTAATGGACACACATGGAAATTATCTAAAGAGGAACTAGGAGAAAGTTATTGATTTTATTTTAATTTTGAACCATATCAGAACTGACCGAAGATGCTGACGAATGACGTATCCAGCGACATAGAGAAGATTATAAAGGTAGGTACAGTTTTATACAATTCATCCCGTAACGGTGTTACACGTATCATTTACCAGACGCAGGTTCCCCCCGACCTGTCAGGACACTGAGGAGCGCTTGTCCTTAAACATGTGCAAATTAAAAAAATCAAAAAAATACCAGGAACAATATAACGATTTTGTGACGATTTTTGAAAATATGTAAAACAATCAGTAGTGGTAATGTGAAGTATATGTCGGGATATACTGCTGTGATGTGTGTCACAATGTTAAGCTAATAGCACATACATATAAGTGTCTACTTACTGGCGCACGTTCGTATATCGCGTGATCGAACGTACTTGTGAATGAGAATAATATATACACAATACATGTGCAAGTATGAAGGTATAGTATTATTACGAAATACTAGTACCTGTATGGCTGATATTTTCATTGTGCTAAACAAACAATGCCATCCATATAAAATGCCTCCCTCCTACTGTTCTTGTTAATTCAAATATACATCAACTTTCCCCTTCTTCAGCTACGGTGTGACTAATGTTTGATTTTACCTTGACAGATGTAATGGTATTAATCAATTATAACGGTGTGATACATGAATAAATTGATCTATTTGATTTATCAACATAATATGGAAGCATAAAAACAAAGCCAGTAAGGAAAATCGAATGCAAATATATGCAGACATGTTAAAAAACAGAACTAAAAATCCGTGCATGGTTATCAATACTGCATCGGTTATAACGCGAGGTGAAACCGTCAGGCGTAAAACATAGTTATATAATATGGTGACAGGGAGTTTGTTTCCAGACATATACGATGATAGTGTGACATCATCCTAATATATAAATTAAGACAAATGTCCATTAACTAGTAGTATACTAAACACTCAATTAGCTATATATAGATATCAAAATCATATCGAAATCAATGAACCTCCCGATGAAACGCGGCAGCAAAAACATGTATAAGAGGAAGGTTTTCTAGCGTTCAGATAAACGACACAAACGGAAAGAAAAGGCGGACGTTGCTTGCTTTTGGCACGAAGGTCGATTGAATTACTGTGACATTACTTTATTTCAAACTGAATTTCTATATAGAGTCTTATATCATTTATAAAAAAGAACAGTCACCCTAAGTTTAACTTAAATCAATTGTATAACAAACAGCATATATCAATGTACGAAATACATGTATTGTCAAATTTGTTGGTAACGAGAGCAACCCCACTTCCGGTTTATAGATAATGGCAAAGAAAGAATGCGCTTCGACCCGACTAGATAAAAAAGTAATGATAAGGAATTCATAATGAATTATTTGATGAGGAGAAGTGAAAATACTTAAATAAAAACACAAATTCACTTGCACGAGTGGTAGACAGAAGACGTGATCTTTATGGAAGAACAAGAATGGCGCCGAATATTTTAAAGACACTCTAAGTTTTCTAAATTCTCCGTTGCAAAAGGCCTTGAGAAATGCCTTATATTTGACTTTCTACTTTAATACTCGTATAACAAGTGTTTAACAAATTCACACGAGATTTTGTCACGAACTGATCAAAGATATTCTATCAAAGTGTGCCTATTTGCATTAAGAAAGCGAGGGTAATTATGTTTCTAGTGTATTGTAAATTTGGTTAGGAGTACTTCACTTAATCACGAGGAGACAGGAATGTTATCAAACAAGTTACAATACACAGGGGTCCGCAAACCGGCATCAGGTTGAAAGCGTACGTCGAACTGTTAAGGATTTTACTGGCGTACACTATACTGTAAAGGTGCCTACTGTTCTATGGACAATGCTTTTTGAAGTAATACTTTTCGTAAATGGCTCTAGAAACATTTATAACCGTCGAAGAAAAATATAAATGTACCCGGACCAAATCCCGGGTCCCTGTGGTATAAAACCATTTTAACATACATATATGTAGTATACCCTGGTGATTTGTGTGTCCCTATAAGGTGTAAACGCGTATACAGACATATTAACTTAAAGAGTTATAGCTGTTCAAATAACTGGTAATTCATTTGTTTACTCATGAATTTTATGAAATTTTAAACTGATGTACAAATATTTTAGTAAGCAATGCCATGGTCTGTGATATGGACATTATATTAAACAGTATTGTTTGGCCATGTGAATTATATTGCTTCAACCCATTACAAAAAATCATATTTCAAATTCTATACATTCGTTAACAATCAATGGTAGTTTGAATGTGCGTAATGATATACATTTAGATGAGTTATTGCCCTGAAATTGCCTTAAATGAGCTTAATTTATATTTTATTCATAATTTATTTACGTTTGTATGTGTATACTACATGTTACTACGTTATAGTCAAAACGCATTTGAACCGCTTCCCCGATTCCCTTCTACCCTCATTCGTAAAAAAAACATCCTTTTTTACCTGAATATTTTACATGAATACGGTAAATATATTTAGACATGAAATATTTGTTTCGATTCATGTAATTAAATGTCCTTGAATAAGAGTATCTGTAGAACTGAACATGATAATCCATTATACACATTTAAAGGGAATTCAATAGAAATGTCTGAGGTCTTCTCTTATCTACAACGTAAAACACCCACGGACAGCACAGGTGTGTATTAACCTTCACCAATAGCGTAACGAGAATATAGGTGGAATTTCAATCTTAATTATTCATAGTGATAAAATTGTACATGTCTTTTAATTCACCACTTAGAAACACACACTGAGATTCTAAAGTTTTAAAATTGCGTTCACAAATATCAAATTTCAAATATGACTGGATGTATTACACAAATAGCTCGTGCTATCGTTAAAACCTTATCTAGACTTTTCACTAATACATGACAAAGAATAAATGTATACAGACTGATTACACTTGAATAGTACAAAGACACGCAGGTACATAACGATCGAAATCCACCAATTTACAATTTACTGAATGTACAACCGAGCCGGCACAGAAAAACAACGAACTGCACAGCTTACACCGAGCCGACACAGAAAAACAACGAACTGTACAGCTTCCACCGAGCCAACACAGAAAAACACACTAAATGCGTGTACATCTGCCGAATCGTCCCTTTCGTGTACAACGTCATAGTAAAACGCAACCATTGTTCAACATCATTGATTACATGTACGACGTCCGTCGAACCGTCCCGTTCATGTACAACGTGAAATTCAAATGCAATCATTGTTCAACACCTGCGCGGTAAAATGCAAGAACTAGCTCACGACATCATATATGGCGACTTAAGAGTTTTCCTTAATAGACACAGTCAAATGAGTAATAATTATTATGATGTCAGCCATATTATATGACATCTCGATGACGGTTACACTTTTTTCAAAGTACACTTTATGACGTCTCCTACGTTTAAGCCCTTAAATGACTATAGCAGTTAATAGGAGGTAAAACACAAACAAACCAAGGCAAACCAAACGTTCAAGCTAAAATGGTATCTACTGACAAAGCAAAAACAAAAATGAGATAAAAACAAATACAATATAGTGAGATTTTATGGTACTTTCAATCTGACTACAACCAGGTGAACTAGTTTGCATGGCATTGATCGATTAAGTTCTATAACAGACACGATATACCTACCTGTATTGACATTACTTTATACACATGATTATGTATCAATATAGCATTAACTTCAGGATACATTAAGGGGAATTTTATTCAGACCGTGTAATTATTCAAATATTTACATAAAACTTACATTGTATATATGTATAACATATGGACCCATTGCAAGACACAGCAGCTGATTTGTTGCCGCCCATTACCAAACAAACTAAGATAAAGGATCAATATTAGATTAACTTGTCTTAATTCAAACACACAGGTTCTTCATAGGAAATGTAAAAATAGCACGTCATCAAATATATTTATTATGTTTCACACAAATTTACATGTCATTGGACATTAAGGATGCATGCAGTCTTGCAAATGATGTAACATGCACCTCTATGTAAAAAGAGTTCAACACTAAACAAGAGATTGTACTTGATTGTACTCAATAATGATACTATAGTTTTAATGATTAAATTTTGCTAAAATGTCTGTTTTTCAGTATTAATGATAGACTTTTCATACTTCGTTTTAAATGTTGTGAACATATGTTCAATGAATCTCGAAATATAAGCACTTGAGCTTCTCTATCTGACAACAAACATGCATCAATACTTTTTATTTGCTCCACCCCTACTGCACTAAGGGGATCACATCCTACATCATACAAAGTCGAGTCCTAATGAACCACAGCGAGTTCTGGTCAAAATCCATCTAGCCGCTCTGGACTAGACTACAGAGAAAAATTGACAGAAAGACTACGGGCGACGGACACTGCACAATGACATAAGCTCACTTGTCCTTCGGACATACAGTATGAACTAAAGGCCTGTACAGAAGAACATCCACGTGGTCGGGCAGGTGACCCGATACCTTTTTACGTCCGATCGTGGAATCGAACACCGGCCGTCGCGGTGATACGCGAGTACGCTTTCCACTGCACCCCACGACCATCAAACTAAAGTATAGATTTTTTTTTATAAAGTACATTTAAGTACTGTACCATTTGAACTGATATGCATACATATGTCAGATGTACATTTTACGAACTGGAATGACACACGACATAAAATTCTCATCTTAACAGGATCATACAATATGTATGAGATTGTCACGGGTCACACGAGTATAGGTTCACACGGGCTGTATACCATTATAACGGTTCACACACGCTATTTGATACTGTCATAGGTACGACAGACTAGACCCTATACACAATACATGGCACAGCGTCAAAAATGCCGACTTCGTTACCCGATCTTCCAAATCTGAAGATCGCACAGTCCTATCTATCAGATTAAAGGCAGTCACACATGTGTGGGCCACTGTTAAATCGTTATATTAGTATGTGTTAAACAGGCATCAAGGCACTTTTGCACGAATGTCTTCAGACAAACAGGTATACTTATATTTGGATGAGATCATAACCAAAATTTAAAAATACTTTTATATAAACCAAAAGTTATTTACCAGCTGAACCACCTGTGGCAGTAATCTTCCACGTAGTACCACAGGCGTATATTTGCATCTAATTATTCTGGAAAGCTTTTTCTCGTTTTCTAGTTTTAATCACCATACGTAAAAAGTTATAAACGTTGATTTTCAGAACTCGAAAAAAATATTAATTGAAAATTTACAGAAATGTTGATTTTTGTACTTTCAGACACAGCCGGTTGAGACGAACCCACCAGGAGACAATTATGTCGGTCGAGGGGATCTTCCTGGTAAACTCTCCGCCTTTGAGAAGCTTATCCGTCATGCCATTTCAAGATTCTCTATGGATCGCGTTTATGACTTGCTCAGAATCGTGACGACAGAATTACGAACGCAAGCAGCCGCACAGGAAAAGGAAGAAGCGGCGGCTGCGGCAGCGGCGAGGATAGCAGAATCAACCGCGACAGCCGAGGGCAAAGACGAAAATACAGAGAAAGGCGAAGAAGGTGACAAGGATATAGACACTGGAACTGACGAAGAAAATAAAAGTGTAAAAAGTGATAATTCCAATAAAAGTTCTGATCGTGGAAAATCGGCAAAAGGCAATGATAGCTCTGATGAGAAAACTGAGTCAGTGCCCGCTAAAAAAGAATACGTAACTAAAACGGTCAACATAACTTCTCTGAAGCAGGTACGTGACATTATCAAAGGTCTTGAATTAAAAGAAACCGCGGGTGAAAAATTGACTGATCGGCAAATTGTGGCTTTGCGGCACTACGCCACGTTCGCTAAGGATGTGGCGTACTTACGCGAGTCAAAGATGTACTTCTACGACAACATTTATTGGGCTCTTCTTGAAGACTTCTATGATCCAAACGAACAAACGGAATCAAGATCTAGTCAGAGTCCACCGGATAATGAAAAGAACAATACATCTCCCGACTCTGCAAGTACACCCGGAGGCCGGAAAAATAGGAAAGTGAAAAATTCAAATCGTCTTCCGAAAAATACCATTAAGAAACCAGAAGCTCCGAAAGAAAACGACAAGAAACGGATACATGACGTTGTAAGTGAGTTGGAGGAAGCGATGGTCAAGTGGACTGGATTGTTAGAAGACGATGACCAGAAAATGGAATATTTCGACCAGGACAGCCATCACGAAGTTGTCCATTATTTACACTGTGCTCCGTTTGAACTTGTATTCCGAGTTGTTCCTGATGTGTTTATAAAGTGCTATCGAGCACTCGATCTAGCACGAGAGTGGATCAAGATTGCAGAGAAGATATACAAAGGGCGACTTCCTCTTCGACGAAAGGTACCGCGTGTTCAAAATGGGGAACCAGTCGAACCTGTTCAAGAAGAACAGAAAGATGAGGTGCAGGAAACGGAGGAAGAAGAAAGAAAGTCTAAGGAGGCTGCAGCGGAAATTTACAAAAAGCACATGAAAAAAATTAAAACGAGAATTGTCACTGTAACCGAGAGGATCAAAAATCATGAATATCAGATGACGGAATTGACAAAAGAAATGAAAACGTTGAAAACCAGGGAAGATCGAGTTGATAAACTTAACGCTAACTTCGAGCAAGCAGATAGCAAATTACAAACAGCACAGAAAGAGTTTTCAAAGTATCTCCACGAAAGACAAAAGACAATTGATGAAATTGGAGAAATACCACCGGGAAGTTTACAACACTCGGAGCTATCTAAAAGGGCAGAAACCCTTGATAAGGAATTAACGAAAAGACAAATCGAACTAGGTTTGTTAGAATATCAGAAATCTGTTGTCCAAGAAGACTTCCTTTTAGAACTGGAATTACGGCCAAATTTTATTCATTTTGTTGGCGATGTTCAAGGCAAAATGACAGACATCAAGACGGATGTTCAGGAGAAGAAACACGAAAAGAAAAAACTTCAAAAGCAGCTAGAATCGATGATTACAAACACCGATAGAGTAAAAGCTGTTATGCGTGAATACCTCGGCCGTGAGCCGAACGATATGGACATGGAAATCGCCGTACGATTAGCGAGTGAAGAGGAGGATGGCGTGGATGACGATGACAAGGAATCAAATGAAAAGGACCAGATATCTACGGACGAATCCGATACTGATTACTGGCAAAAAGAACCCGGAAACTATGATTCTGATGGAACGGTAGGATTAGATTCGGACCAAAGTTTTGTGTCGGTATCCGATGATGTTGATCTCACAGAATTTCTTCCGTCAACTGTTGTGTTCGGGGAAGTGTCTTCTTCTGACAGGAAAATGGCGGGAAAGACGGGTGGTTCTAACATTTTGTCTAAAAAGAAAACGTACACACCTCAATCGTCACAGCAGTTTTCTGATGCGATGCGTGTTCTTTCCCCAAACAGTAATCCGAAGTCTCAAAGAGGTTTAGCGGGACCGAAGAAGCTAAAACCACATTCTAAAGTGTATAAACAAATGCACGCAACAAGCTATAGACCATCGTGATACCCTATATCTGTTAGTTTTCTTCAATATTTATTTTCAAGTATCAAACAACTTATTCGTATAGATTGAAATACATGTGTTTGAATAAGTAATCGCGGGAGGTTTAAATTCGCGAATAGCTAATCACAAAATGGATAGTAAAGTATAAATCTCGAAAAAATGGTAGTTACAGTTATCAATTAAGGCGGTTCTCGTTTCAATCAGATACTTGTGTGACGTCATTTTAGTAGTAGCTGATGGAAATGTTCCAATCACAGTGAAGGAGCAGTCTAGGCTATTGTTCTAACAATGTGTGAGGTCGTGATTCGCCGTGCGTGTCGGTGCTGCTAGTCATTGCAATATACCCATGCTAAAATACCAAATTTGTTGATTAGATCTGAGACAATATTGTGACCAAAGGACACATGTATACACATATTGAGGTGATCCTCGTGTGGGAGAAGTGTTTTCAGTAAGATTCACTCTTACCTTGATTGGTAGGTACATTTGTATGTAGATGTATAGATGTCAACAAGAAGCCTGTGACCTTTGTACCTGAGAACGGATTGTGCCATCGTGTCAAAAAGTTTTGAATAATAAACATCAATGTTGTTTTTTACAATTTACATGGAAGTAGTCAACGGCAGGCTTCTCATAGACAAACGAGACCGACTTAAATGTGGATTTGATTTAAACTAATAACGCTGGATTTAGTTAATTATTTCCTTACATAACTGCTATGTTTATACACAACGTACGGAGTCCAAGTTGTGTTCTTAAAGTAAACATGTAAATATTTTTTCTCGAGAAGTCAGTTTGTATTTTATTTTTATATTTTTGAAATGCTGGCATTGACTTTTAACAATTAAAATCATATATTAATAAGATACATATAAGATCAAATCTATCCATTTTCTTATCCGGGAAAACACCTGCTATCAAAACGAATCGAAGTACTGAAAAGGCTGAAAGCTAAGGCAAAAGATAGACCAAGATGAATATATTATATTTGGAATGGGGAACAAATTAAAGACGAAGTGACCATTATATTGTACAGAGGGATTGACGGTTAATTTTGTTATGCATCCTTGTCGGTAGAGATACTTAGAAATGAAAAAAAACGATACAAAAACATTTCTCCCATCTCTCCAGCATCCAAGTTGTTATATATGTACCGACATTACTCGATTCAGCTACATGCACGCTTTGTTTAATACCTAGTCATAGTTCAGATTCTTATGACGAGTACAAATATTTATTGTGTTCCGATAAAAATGGTTGATCACTAATTATCTTCCTGTGTTTCACTTTCATGATTAATAACGGCTTTTTAACAAACAAAGGGTTGTTTTTTAATTTTTAGAACACCACAAAGGTTAGAATCTGATCTTATATGTCATAACTTGATTGATGTTAGAACATGTGCGTTTGCGGGTGATTGTAAGTAACGGTTCTATCCCTATCTAGTATACTTTCAAATTTTGAAATTTAATATTTCTAAAAGGACTCACAAAAAGGATGTAAGAAACATAACAATGTTCAGTGTTTTCATATCTTAAGACAATTATAATTTTTGATGAAAACTTTGGAATTATTTTACCAACTTGACCCAATATTTATTCTTAGTGTTAAATATATACAAATATATGATTATTTCAACTTTGACCTCGAAATTTATGGTACATTTGGTAATTAATATTCTATATGGGAGTCTAAATTACAATCCATACAAAGCGTGCACAATGGATTTTATAATTAATTGACTCAAGCAGTGTCATATATGTGTGCCAAACATATATTTATACGGTAAGTATATATTTCATTCCCTAGTTGTAAAAGTTGCGTTTGCAAAAAAGGTACCTTCGTAATTACTTTTAAAGTATATTAAAATCTTGTCCATTCACAAACCAAAAGAAAACAAAACCGAATGTTTCCTCTCGTGCAACAAAAAAGATATGGGTTAAAATTGGTCAAAATAATTGATGGGAAAAACCAAGATTGAATAATTTGCCAAAATGAGTATCTCATTTGTCCGACAATGAAAGCTCCCGACTGTTTAGACTGCCGCACCAGGTTAGTAGTGACTTTTCGCACAGACGGCCGGGGTAAAGTCCTTGACTTTTCACACAAAACACACGGCATTAAATCTCTGATCTTGTACACGGACAATTGGGTTTAGGTCTCTGACAATTATACATGTATGAAAAATTATATAAGTATTCTAAGCAATACAGCTGGAGATTTTTAACACAGTATTGTGAGATCCAACAGACAGCTTATCCTAACAAGAGGCCCAATGGGCCTGCATCCCTCACCTGGTATTAATCTCACACTTGTAATCTTAAAAGTGGACTAAAATACAGCTACAAGCAAAATATCAGTGTTTCATTCATAAGAACCTATTAAAAGATTTAAACATATGACACCTGTGACTTTGAATGTCGAACAAGGACATTATAATATTAGGTTGAACAGAGTTTATAGTCTTCCAACCCAGCATGCTTCTGGAAAAATATCATTACCCTGGACCTTTTGGTTATACGGAACAACTCATTTAAAGATTTAAACATATATTCACCACTGTGACCTTGAATATGGGCGAAGGTCATTCACTTGGCAGTCCTTCATCCCAGCATGTTAATGGCCAAATATCATCACCCTTGGGATTTTGCTTATTAAGAAGAAATCATTCAATGGTTTTAAACAAATTTGACCCCTGTGACCTTAAAATATAGATGTCAAGGTCATTCATTTGAACTTAGTAATCCTTCAACCCAGCATGTTACTGGCATTATCCTAGGCCTCTTGGTTATTCTTCAGAAGTCGTTTAAAGGTTAAGAACATATTTGACCCTGTGACCTTGAAAAAGATGAAGGTCATTTATTTGAACAAACTTGGTAGCCCTTCATCAAAGCATGCTTCTGGCCAAATATAATCACCAAAGGCCTTTTGGTTACTGAGAAGAAGTTGTTTATAGTAAAAAGTTGACGCCGGACAGACGCCGGATGCCGCACCATGCCATAAGCTCACTGGGCCCTTTGGGCCAGGTGAGCTAAAAATTCAAAGAAAGGGGAACACCGTTTTCGACAAGGCTCGTCTTCAGTTCTAACAGTGACATGTACAATCAAGGAAAAAAGATAATACTGTAGCATCAACAAAACCATTGTTAACATTTTCTATGTGACGTTTCGATGACTAGTACGATATGTACACTGGCACCTTCATCAGACAAATGACCAGTGAAGCGTATGCACACAAAGGTGTAAAATGTGTACGAGTTGTCCATAAAATCGATGTCGATTTCGACTGAAGGTGACAGTGGACATATCGTACTAGTCATTGAAACGTCACATAGAAAATCTTATTGGTTGTGTAAAAAGAACTTCTCATAATGTACACTGTGGAGAGTAAAACCAGGTGTTCCAAAAGAGTAAGCGTCTTCTGCTTCATGACCACACCCGTCAAGTAAATATAGGTCAAATCCATTAATGTCACGTCATCACATCAAGAACTCGGGTACTGAAAACAAAATCATAAGGCTCACTAATGAGCATAATAAAGAATCATCGACTTTTATATCACACAATGATATAACATATTTCCCTCCGAGATCATGATGACGACCAGAAAACCCATACTTATAACTCTATCGTATCATGATATATATTTTTACAAGATGTGAAGGATTCTTTAGAAATGAAGAAGGTGAATCATATTTTTTTCATCTTCATTACCAGTCAGAACTTCCTTGATCTTGGTTCTGAGTTGATGTTCATTTTCTGAGGATACAAGTATAGTTGATGTTTTCTGCTTTTGTTTCGGTTCTATATTTGAATTTTGCCGTTGTGGAATATTTACCAGATTAATTAAGTACTTCATATTCTCCTTTATCAGTTTCCTCATTCTTTATTACTTCTTAGCCACAGGATCAGTGTATCGATCTTTCGATCATAAATGTCTCTTTCTGGATAGTAACATCATTTCTGGGGTTTCTAGAGTATATCTCTCACTCATCTTAATTACCAAACAAAAACAATGCATTTATGATATCTCTTTTTATTGATATACAACATACACATACAAGCATTTCTCTATAACTATGTATTACTATTGATTTAGTATAGAAATTGAACTCTCATGTATTATCTAAACTGCATCAGTTTTATGACACATTCACAGAAATTATATAGTCTAGTAGTTGACATTTAAAAAATTATTAAAACTGAAAATAACTTGAATGTCAGGGTATAAATGCCAAATCTCAAAAATCTTAAACAAAAAATAAATACATTTCTGCTCATCTTAAACAACAGAATTCATTTGTTGTATAGTTACCTCTAACTAAATGAGGTTGATATATATATGGAATCTTACATGAGTTTCCATTTCATATGAGATTTATGAAAACGAGTCTAAGAACTTTTCAATTTACCAAGCCTCCTAGGCGTGACGTCACAATCAAAACAATTCAAACTTACAACCAATCACAGGGCTGATAGGACATATTACATGGGTTAATACGCAAAAAAATATGACAAGGGTATATTCACTGAGATAACACAGTACATTGTGTGATAAAACTGGATCTAAATGGATACATTGTACTCAAACATGGAAGTTCAATATTTTCATATACACTTCGTTACAGTTTTTAATTAATACATCAGTAGAATATTATATTGACTTAGAAGAGCTTTCTAAGTTCATCTTTTTAAAATTTGAATCATAATGGAAAAACTGCCATCAAAATGAGAAGAAATTTACCCGTACTATAGCATTGAATCATCTTTAAGGAGAAAACCTAAATCTTTTGTTCCAACTTAGTCAAACATAGAGAAAAAATAATATATTTGGTGCTATTGCACATATCCTGTAATAATTATGTTAATATAAACAACACCAGTGTAGAAACACGTCCCGTCTATAGTGGCTAGATTTGCTCTTCATAAAATGGTTATACGGCTAGGTTTATAGGTGAATAAAAAGAGCGGATACAAATTCTATCGATACTTAAACACGTCATCTCATAAATCTTGGACGATGTGAATTAAAAAATTTAAGGATGTTTCGTTGGGAAAGGAAAGGTTTTTCAACAAAGTATTTCTCTAAAGTACACAAATAAGCAAAACCGTTTTGGGATAAACAGAATAGCAAAGATTGATCAGGCAAGCAACAATCTCACATTATGAACCAAACCTCGAAAGTTTATAAAAGTGAGTTGAGGTTTGTTAAATTGCTATTTTTCAAATAGGGACATTTATAAATATCAGAAATGACTTCCACACATCGCATATTTTTTTTTTATTCAATATTTGTTATTAATGCTGCATACCAGGCAATTTTCGCTGCAGTTTGATTTTGTCTTTGTCATCTTGCCTTATGAGGGCAAATTTACATGTATTGTCATTACAGCGAACAGAAGTAAATAGCACTACAAACATATTAATTAAATATGAAGGGCAAAATAAACACTGCCGTGGGCGAAAATTGATTTAAGGGCGAAAGTTTGACTTGACGAAATTCCCTGGTATGCAGATTACAAATGACCTTTAACCTTAATCACACTAGTGTTCTCTATATCATGTTGTAGGCAGCATACTTACACTTCATATCACTTATAATACCATTTTTACACATAATTTGGCCCCGCAAACAAGTATACTATCCTATCAAAATGTCTTTTACGCCTTGCACTACTGTGATGCACTGATTTTCTCTAAACACTTCGTAGCATCTTTTAATTTTCCAACAAAATCCTGAAATAAATGGAAACATATGAAAAAATATTTAACAACACTGACAATAACAAGTTGACGATGAAAAAATAACTTGTATATTACTAGCAATTAATGAATCATGCCTCAACTTTCATGATTAGCACTTCTAAAATGAAAAAATCATTTGTATATAAATAGATATGAATTTCAAGATCTACAAATATGAAAGTCTCAAATTTACTGATTAAGTGCTTTATTAAAAATAATCAAAAGGTCAATGAACAAAATCAGTTATCAGACATTCACTCATTTAGTGCTCCACTTAGTAGGTCAATGATTATTTTGAGACGTTTTCTTACCTGTAACTGTTCTTGTGTACAGGAGAACTGTACGTCCTGAATACCTGGTTTCCCTGGTACCTGTAATTAGTCCACAGGTAAAGTCAAAATGTCATTTACATACCTATGCCTGTAATTAGTCCACAGGTAAGTCAAAATGTCATTTACATACCTATACCTGTAATTAGTCCACAGGTAAAGTCAAAATGTCATTTACATACCTATGCCTGTAATTAGTCCACAGGTAAAGTCAAAAGGTAATTTACATACCTATGCCTGTAATTAGTCCACAGGTAAAGTCAAAAGGTCATTTACATACCTATGCCTGTAATTAGTCCACAGGTTAAGTCAAAATGTCATTTACTTATCTATGCCTGTAATAAGTCCACAGGTAAAGTCAGAATCTCATTTACATACCTATGCCTGTAATTAGTCCACAGGTAAAGTCAAAATCTCATTTACATACCTATGTCTGTAATTAGTCCAAAGGTAAAGTCAGAATCTCATTTACATACCTATGCCTGTAATGAGTCCACAGGTAAAGTCAGAATCTCATTTACATACCTATGCCTGTAATTAGTCCAAAGGTAAAGTCAGAATCTCATTTACATACCTATGCCTGTAATGAGTCCACAGGTAAAGTCAGAATCTCATTTACATACCTATGCCTGTAATTAGTCCAAAGGTAAAGTCAGAATCTCATTTACATACCTATGCCTGTAATGAGTCCACAGGTAAAGTCAGAATCTCATTTACATACCTATGCCTGTAATTAGTCCAAAGGTAAAGTCAGAATCTCATTTACATACCTATGCCTGTAATTAGTCCAAAGGTAAAGTCAGAATCTCATTTACATACCTATGCCTGTAATGAGTCCACAGGTAAAGTCAGAATCTCATTTACATACCTATGCCTGTAATGAGTCCACAGGTAAAGTCAGAATCTCATTTACATACCTATGCCTGTAATGAGTCCACAGGTAAAGTCAGAATCTCATTTACATACCTATGCCTGTAATGAGTCCACAGGTAAAGTCAGAATCTCATTTACATACCTATGCCTGTAATTAGTCCAAAGGTAAAGTCAGAATCTCATTTACATACCTATGCCTGTAATGAGTCCACAGGTAAAGTCAGAATCTCATTTACATACCTATGCCTGTAATTAGTCCAAAGGTAAAGTCAGAATCTCATTTACATACCTATGCCTGTAATGAGTCCACAGGTAAAGTCAGAATCTCATTTACATACCTATGCCTGTAATGAGTCCACAGGTAAAGTCAGAATCTCATTTACATACCTATGCCTGTAATTAGTCCAAAGGTAAAGTCAGAATCTCATTTACATACCTATGCCTGTAATGAGTCCACAGGTAAAGTCAGAATCTCATTTACATACCTATGCCTGTAATGAGTCCACAGGTAAAGTCAGAATCTCATTTACATACCTATGCCTGTAATTAGTCCAAAGGTAAAGTCAGAATCTCATTTACATACCTATGCCTGTAATGAGTCCACAGGTAAAGTCAGAATCTCATTTACATACCTATGCCTGTAATGAGTCCACAGGTAAAGTCAGAATCTCATTTACATACCTATGCCTGTAATTAGTCCAAAGGTAAAGTCAGAATCTCATTTACATACCTATGCCTGTAATTAGTCCAAAGGTAAAGTCAGAATCTCATTTACATACCTATGCCTGTAATGAGTCCACAGGTAAAGTCAGAATCTCATTTACATACCTATGCCTGTAATGAGTCCACAGGTAAAGTCAGAATCTCATTTACATACCTATGCCTGTAATTAGTCCAAAGGTAAAGTCAGAATCTCATTTACATACCTATGCCTGTAATTAGTCCAAAGGTAAAGTCAGAATCTCATTTACATACCTATGCCTGTAATGAGTCCACAGGTAAAGTCAGAATCTCATTTACATACCTATGCCTGTAATGAGTCCACAGGTAAAGTCAGAATCTCATTTACATACCTATGCCTGTAATGAGTCCACAGGTAAAGTCAGAATCTCATTTACATACCTATGTCTGTAATTAGTCCAAAGGTAAAGTCAGAATCTCATTTACATACCTATGCCTGTAATGAGTCCACAGGTAAAGTCAGAATCTCATTTACATACCTATGCCTGTAATGAGTCCACAGGTAAAGTCAGAATCTCATTTACATACCTATGCCTGTAATTAGTCCAAAGGTAAAGTCAGAATCTCATTTACATACCTATGCCTGTAATGAGTCCACAGGTAAAGTCAGAATCTCATTTACATACCTATGCCTGTAATTAGTCCAAAGGTAAAGTCAGAATCTCATTTACATACCTATGCCTGTAATGAGTCCACAGGTAAAGTCAGAATCTCATTTACATACCTATGCCTGTAATTAGTCCAAAGGTAAAGTCAGAATCTCATTTACATACCTATGCCTGTAATGAGTCCACAGGTAAAGTCAGAATCTCATTTACATACCTATGCCTGTAATTAGTCCAAAGGTAAAGTCAGAATCTCATTTACATACCTATGCCTGTAATGAGTCCACAGGTAAAGTCAGAATCTCATTTACATACCTATGCCTGTAATTAGTCCAAAGGTAAAGTCAGAATCTCATTTACATACCTATGCCTGTAATGAGTCCACAGGTAAAGTCAGAATCTCATTTACATACCTATGCCTGTAATTAGTCCAAAGGTAAAGTCAGAATCTCATTTACATACCTATGCCTGTAATGAGTCCACAGGTAAAGTCAGAATCTCATTTACATACCTATGCCTGTAATTAGTCCAAAGGTAAAGTCAGAATCTCATTTACATACCTATGCCTGTAATGAGTCCACAGGTAAAGTCAGAATCTCATTTACATACCTATGCCTGTAATTAGTCCAAAGGTAAAGTCAGAATCTCATTTACATACCTATGCCTGTAATGAGTCCACAGGTAAAGTCAGAATCTCATTTACATACCTATGCCTGTAATTAGTCCAAAGGTAAAGTCAGAATCTCATTTACATACCTATGCCTGTAATGAGTCCACAGGTAAAGTCAGAATCTCATTTACATACCTATGCCTGTAATTAGTCCAAAGGTAAAGTCAGAATCTCATTTACATACCTATGCCTGTAATGAGTCCACAGGTAAAGTCAGAATCTCATTTACATACCTATGCCTGTAATTAGTCCAAAGGTAAAGTCAGAATCTCATTTACATACCTATGTCTGTAATTAGTCCAAAGGTAAAGTCAGAATCTCATTTACATACCTATGCCTGTAATGAGTCCACAGGTAAAGTCAGAATCTCATTTACATACCTATGCCTGTAATTAGTCCAAAGGTAAAGTCAGAATCTCATTTACATACCTATGCCTGTAATGAGTCCACAGGTAAAGTCAGAATCTCATTTACATACCTATGCCTGTAATTAGTCCAAAGGTAAAGTCAGAATCTCATTTACATACCTATGCCTGTAATGAGTCCACAGGTAAAGTCAGAATCTCATTTACATACCTATGCCTGTAATTAGTCCAAAGGTAAAGTCAGAATCTCATTTACATACCTATGCCTGTAATGAGTCCACAGGTAAAGTCAGAATCTCATTTACATACCTATGCCTGTAATTAGTCCAAAGGTAAAGTCAGAATCTCATTTACATACCTATGCCTGTAATGAGTCCACAGGTAAAGTCAGAATCTCATTTACATACCTATGCCTGTAATTAGTCCAAAGGTAAAGTCAGAATCTCATTTACATACCTATGCCTGTAATGAGTCCACAGGTAAAGTCAGAATCTCATTTACATACCTATGCCTGTAATTAGTCCAAAGGTAAAGTCAGAATCTCATTTACATACCTATGCCTGTAATGAGTCCACAGGTAAAGTCAGAATCTCATTTACATACCTATGCCTGTAATTAGTCCAAAGGTAAAGTCAGAATCTCATTTACATACCTATGCCTGTAATGAGTCCACAGGTAAAGTCAGAATCTCATTTACATACCTATGCCTGTAATTAGTCCAAAGGTAAAGTCAGAATCTCATTTACATACCTATGCCTGTAATGAGTCCACAGGTAAAGTCAGAATCTCATTTACATACCTATGCCTGTAATTAGTCCAAAGGTAAAGTCAGAATCTCATTTACATACCTATGCCTGTAATGAGTCCACAGGTAAAGTCAGAATCTCATTTACATACCTATGCCTGTAATTAGTCCAAAGGTAAAGTCAGAATCTCATTTACATACCTATGCCTGTAATGAGTCCACAGGTAAAGTCAGAATCTCATTTACATACCTATGCCTGTAATTAGTCCAAAGGTAAAGTCAGAATCTCATTTACATACCTATGCCTGTAATGAGTCCACAGGTAAAGTCAGAATCTCATTTACATACCTATGCCTGTAATTAGTCCAAAGGTAAAGTCAGAATCTCATTTACATACCTATGCCTGTAATGAGTCCACAGGTAAAGTCAGAATCTCATTTACATACCTATGCCTGTAATTAGTCCAAAGGTAAAGTCAGAATCTCATTTACATACCTATGCCTGTAATGAGTCCACAGGTAAAGTCAGAATCTCATTTACATACCTATGCCTGTAATTAGTCCAAAGGTAAAGTCAGAATCTCATTTACATACCTATGCCTGTAATGAGTCCACAGGTAAAGTCAGAATCTCATTTACATACCTATGCCTGTAATTAGTCCAAAGGTAAAGTCAGAATCTCATTTACATACCTATGCCTGTAATGAGTCCACAGGTAAAGTCAGAATCTCATTTACATACCTATGCCTGTAATTAGTCCAAAGGTAAAGTCAGAATCTCATTTACATACCTATGCCTGTAATGAGTCCAAAGGTAAAGTCAGAATCTCATTTACATACCTATGCCTGTAATTAGTCCAAAGGTAAAGTCAGAATCTCATTTACATACCTATGCCTGTAATGAGTCCAAAGGTAAAGTCAGAATCTCATTTACATACCTATGCCTGTAATTAGTCCAAAGGTAAAGTCAGAATCTCATTTACATACCTATGCCTGTAATTAGTCCAAAGGTAAAGTCAGAATCTCATTTACATACCTATGCCTGTAATTAGTCCAAAGGTAAAGTCAGAATCTCATTTACATACCTATGCCTGTAATTAGTCCAAAGGTAAAGTCAGAATCTCATTTACATACCTATGCCTGTAATTAGTCCAAAGGTAAAGTCAGAATCTCATTTACATACCTATGCCTGTAATTAGTCCAAAGGTAAAGTCAGAATCTCATTTACATACCTATGCCTGTAATTAGTCCAAAGGTAAAGTCAGAATCTCATTTACATACCTATGCCTGTAATTAGTCCAAAGGTAAAGTCAGAATCTCATTTACATACCTATGCCTGTAATTAGTCCAAAGGTAAAGTCAGAATCTCATTTACATACCTATGCCTGTAATTAGTCCAAAGGTAAAGTCAGAATCTCATTTACATACCTATGCCTGTAATAAATCCAAAGGTAAAGTCAGAATCTCATTTACATACCAATGCCTGTAATTAGTCCAAAGGTAAATTCAGAATCTCATTTACATACCTATGCCTGTAATGAGTCCACAGGTCAAGTCAGAATCTCATTTACATACCTATGTCTGTAATAAGTTCGCGGGTAAAGTCAGAATCTCATTTACCTACACCTGACACCTGTAATTAGTTCAAAGGTAAAGTCACTCTCTTTTATATATCTCAAATCATCACAAGTTCATTTCCTATATTTTTTGGGGAATTGAGATGCAGACATTGATTTTGCTGATGTGTAAATAGTACTGGAACAGGTAATAATATCAGTAGCTGTTCATATGGAACAAGTTTGAACAGAAATAGGGGAAATCTGTCCGCAAATTAGTAGTCTCCGAATCAATGTAGCTAAATAATGATGTATACTCCCTACTTGTACCTCTTACCTCTGTCTTCAGAGATATCAGGTAGACAGCCTGATTCACCTTCTCTAGGTGGTTATTCTGAAACCAAAATCCCAGAGTGAAACAAAACACAGAGTAAAAACATCCAGATGTGTATATTGGGATAAAAATAGAGATTTTTCAGTAAATTGCTACAAAGGTACTGTGATAATTCATCATCCCTAAGACTTCAAAAAAAGGTCCAATGTAAGCTTCAATGACACATCAAGCTGCCGTACAAGTACCCTTAATTCTACATAATATGCCTTGTTTGGAAACAGGCCTTGGATACAGCCAAACATATCTAGATAATAAGCCATCTTTGAAAGTAACCTGATCTTGAAATATATATTGGATTCCAGGTAGGTGCCACATTTACCCTGTCCAGCTAAACTGCACTTACAATCAACTATCACCTATATGATTTATATTTGCAACAATTTGAAAAAATCATAAATGAAACTTTATGACATCATATTTTTTCATGCAACTAAAAATTACGCCTTTGAAATCTTAGTTTCACCAAAAATGAAAATAAGCCGAAGCTCGACGTACATGTATATGGTTGTGTAAAATAACGGGAATGGGAAACAAGGTACACATTACTATGGTATCAGCTCCCAGGCATGTCATACATAATGTACTAGGGTTGGAACAACCAATAAAGGAACATTTCACCTTTGTATTATGTTGATATATGAGAGCTACTTGGGATTGAACAAAAAAATCACCTGGCATAGTGAGAACGAAGGATAAACCTTCAAAATTTCATTTGAAAGAAGAAGTTTGATCTGTACAAAAGATGTTTTTATTTGACAAGCTTATATCACCTTGATATAGTAATCTAATCTCCAATCCACGTCGACTATGTGAGGGGGAGTAACTCCAACACTGTAAAATACAAAATAAGGTGAGTCTTTGTTCGATACAAAATATGATGAGTTTCTGAGAGAAAGACAGAGACGTCAGATAACATAAGCAAATTAGGACAATATAGGTCAGTGATGTTTTTACCTGTTTTCTCAGGGGCCTCAATTAACAAATCAAGATCTCACAATATTTTTTTTTGACACTTTGCTTAATAACAGTTTTTAAATGATGTTTCTTTTTGTATTACAGCTTAACATACTACATACAAAGAACAAAAACAAACCGTAGTCATGTTTTATAGAACTTTCAATTTTATAAAATATTCAGGAAGTTTAAAAAAAAACAACAGGTAGCTTTATAAGACAACAGAAAAAAGAGAACAAAATATTTTCATAAATACACTCCCCTTGTGAGTCCTTCCTTAGAGAATCACTAGTTGATTACTTACTTTCCAAGCAAAATCTGCAGAATTTGTTTCCTTTCCTGAAAGATAAACAATTAAGTACCAAAAAATGCAGAACAAATGTTTATTAAATACAGCAGAATGAGCAGATCCCTGTTACTCATGTAGCTCATATCGATCACCTGTCAGAAAGATTATGTGTCAATCAAACAGGGCAATGTTTTTACTGCATTAACAAAAAGGGTACATTTGCTTACAAAATGGAACTGTTTTGAGTTTGAATATGTTAAATAAATAATACAATAAGTGGCAATTTCTGAAAGTACAAATTAAGCCTTTACTTATTAGTGCTAATTTTCATAACTTATGTATCTTTAAGGACTCGCACAACTAAATCAGCCTATTAGCAAGTGTTTTATACAATTGTCATCCCTACCTAAAATTTGTCCGGGTTAATACAGAGCCTCTAATTAATTTAGATAGGCAATTGTTGACATATTTTATATTGAATGAAATCTACAGATAATAAACTTTAGAAAATTGTATAGCTTTAGTAGATTTTAATATGTGATGGCGGATTGATATGGGGTCAAATGTCAGGGGGTGTTCCCGTCCCACTTCACCGGTTTGGCTCGTAAACTTCAGGTTGTCTGAAAAGCAGACGCTTATAGTGCTCTTATCCCCGCCAAAAAATGCCTTATGAAGCCTGTGTCAGGTATGTATCTGTGAATCTAGACAGTTGTCACTAGTGTTGAACTTCAAATATAAAAGCTATTAGCCCAAAAGCTTAGTTATAACATATAGTATTAAGTTGTGTGAGCCCTTTAATGCTGTTAAAATTTAAACTCACAGCTTTTTGTTCACAGTTAAGCTAGTTGTTCACAAACATATACATTACAAAATGAAAATGCATATACCACAGCTATTTGGTAAATCATGTCTAACAAAGTGAAACATTTATAACACAATCTTAACTTATCAATAACTTGTTGACAACCTGGTTTGGTTTGTTTGTGTTTTACGTCCTATTAATATAGTACAGCTATGGTCATTTAAGGATGTGCCAGGTTTTGGTGGTGGAGGAAATCTTGAGTACCCGGAGAAAATAAACCACCGACCTACTGCCAGTACCTGGCGACTGCCCCGCGTAAGCCTCGAACCCGCGACCAGTGGTGGAGGGCTAGTAGTAGCAGAATGTCAGACGCCTTCTAATTAACCACTTGGCCACCACGACCCTTCTTTGTCATAATGAATATTCTGTTAATTGTTTGTTTTAAAGCAAGCACTCTTAAATACATCTACCTTACAAATTGAGACATCTTACCTCTCATTAAAACATAAAAAACCAGACAGCATCAACAAAAGGATATTTTAACAAGACAATTTGTAGCTTTTGACAAATAACATTCTGTATACAACAAGAGGCCCATAGGCCTAAACGGTCACCTGAGTCTACAGTATTTATTTTTGTTGTTGAAATATGTACCAATTTGAGTAAAAAATAGTATAATGTTAACTTAACTTTGTCAGGACCATGAGCTGATCATTCCTAGACCAATTTTAAGTGAGATCGGCCTATTAGAACTTAGTAGCAAAATAGCGGCCATGGCAGCCAAATTGTATTTCTGATTGACCCGAAAAATAACAACACTTTGTCAGGACCATGAGGCGATCATTCCTACCAACTTTCAGTTCAATCGGTCCAGCAGAACTTGACTTTAAGTTTGAAATAGGTTTTCAAAATGGCGGCCGTGGCGGCCATATTGGATTTCTGATCGACCCGAAAAATAACAACACTTTGTCAGGACCATGAGGCGATCATTCCTACCAACTTTCAGTTCAATCGGTCCAGCAGAACTTGACTTTAAGTTTGAAATAGGTTTTCAAAATGGCGGCCGTGGCGGCCATATTGGATTTCTGATCGACCCGAAAAATAACAACACTTTGTCAGGACCATGAGGCGATCATTCCTACCAACTTTCAGTTCAATCGGCCCAGCAGAACTTGACTTTAAGTTTGAAATGTAAAATGTTAACGGACGATGGACGACGGACGACGACGGATGAAAACGGATAGCAATAGGTCACTTGAGCTAAAGCTCAGGTGACCTAAAAATCAGTGAATGAAAAATATGTCCCAAGTTAAAATGTATCTTCAGTAAATATTTCATTCAAATATCTTGCAGACAGGCTTGCTCTTTTGATGCCAGTTCAGTTTTAGGGAAATCAAAATGCTGAACAACTCATAGGAACTGTGTACAGCATAAAGTGTGAAAGCAAAACAACAAGCAGGCCTTGTTTTTTTTCTTTTTCTTTATTTTTCTTTTCGTTTTAGATTTGAGAAATTTTGTTTCAGAAAATCAGAAAGGAATGGGTCCAACTCATGAGATAATAAAAGGGCAGGAGAAATCCTGTTCAATGTATGTATACCAGTATGTTTATGTCACCATGGTAAAATACTAGCTGCTTCCTACTGACTCAGCTAGGGAGATTTTTTTTTACGCTCATTCAGTAGAGCGTAAGACTAGTAAACCAAAGGTCACAGGTTTGACTCCTAGAGAAGGGATCGAAAAAAATATTACCTCAGTTACATTTATGTAGATTGAAACTACAGTACTGGTATTTTGATGCATTCTCTCTTAACACCATGAATTAATATATCATATTGTTTATTCTTGCATTGGCATCGTTTTAACACCTATTAACATTTTTGAGTTATGATTGATAGAACTTACCTGGTAACTTGATATGAAGGCTTTGATTCTGTCGGCAGTGAATTTACAGTCTTCTAGCACAGCTCTGTATGGTCAGAAAAATATTCATCAACCCTCTGTTTGAAGATGTTAATTAAATTTTTAAGAATCTAAAATAGTTTAAATTAAGGCAATTAAGAAGTAAGTTTGCTGTTGGTACCAAAGCTCACGTGCTTTCTCCTATAGCACATTCACAATTTAGTGATTAACCCTCATTAACATTGCAAGTTCAACCATCTACACCATGTCACTTCAACTGTGTAAGCCAATCTACTGCACATCTACTGCCTGTACACAAATGCAATTAAAATCATTCTTTTGTCTTAAAACAGATTATAATGTACCATATTTGCTGTGATAAGTCAGGTGCTAGAAAAATTAGTTGAGGGGTGCACTAGATAACTAAAACTAGGCTGTGTCTGTTGCTGTAGGGCGACATAACTATCAGACACATTCCCAGAGAGAATTTCAAAACTTCTTTTTTACTCTAAAACACTGTAAAATTGTAGTGTCTGATATTAAGTGTATATATATAGCATTATATTTTGTGAACAGGAGAGAGCCAGAATGTAGCGTGTCTAGGAATGGATGGGGTGGCTTATATCATTTCAATAAGTGCCCTAAATAGGGAGTTGAGTTTGTAAGAGTAAGGGGGTTAATTAAAGTGGATACTAAAGATTTATTTTTTGGGGGAATATTTCTGATAATTTGAAAATGCAATCCCCATCAAATCCCCTTGAATGGTCAGAAACACCTAATTATTTTACAAAAGTGCAAATCCTTGGCAAAAGAAAACTTCAGGACAAATTTATTAGAACACGTTTTGATTAGTAAAAATAAGAAAGAGATCCAATGGGCCTGTATCAGAAAAACTTTGTGGGTCTTTGGAGAGACATTGGACGACACATGATGACAGACAAAAGTCTATGTCTCAGATGACCTAAACACCACAAAGTGACTGCTGGATCTGCAAGTGAATCTAGATATATTTTAATGTGTGCAGTAACAAGCTAAAGTTGTAAGGAAATCTGGGAAAACTTACTCGAGTGAGGCAGCCTCTGTGTCATGCTTGGTAGCTTCGATGATACAGGACACCAGTCCAGCGTATGCCTCCTTCAATGCAGCCTTATCAACACCACCGAAAGCCTCGTCTCCTATAACCAAGTATCAACAGGTACGTTAGGCCAGAGAAAAAAGAACGGTGTGATTGTTCAAACCTTCATCGAAGAATTGAAATGATTTTAGTTGGCATTCCGAAAAGGAAATGATAAAATCTAGAGAGTTTGCAAGTGATTTATGTTGAATTTGTTATTTCCGTTTGGCATTCATATCGCCCATCTTTGTCATCTTTATTTCATATGGGTAAATGTATATAACACACATACATCGACCTGAAGGCATAAGAAGGTAACTCTAGTGATACTGTTACATACATACATACAACACAGACGCTAACACCAATCATACTCCATTCCAAGTCACTGGAGTGAGCAGTAAGGGTTAACCCTTTCACCCCTATGTAACTTTAGTAGACTTTATCATGCATTGATATGGAGGGGTCCATTATAAAATATTCGTTTGAAGTGTAATTAGATACTGAAAAATTTAAGCCTTGATTAAATTTGGGTCCTGAAATTTGCAAAAACTGATTTTATAAGTGTCTGTGTCTGATAGTAAACTTATCTGTGTTGATGTAGCTATAAACCAAGCTGCTGTCTGCCTCTAGAGGTTTGGGGTGCCATCTACTCTAACAATGTTAGAGGTTTAACACGGCGAAAAACTTTTGACAGGCGCCAAAAAACTGGGAACGCTGATTGGTGACTTCAGAACGTTCTATAAATATCTCAAGTGAGCCCCAGGTGCCAATTTCGTTTGTAAAAACCACAGGAGCCTGAAGTTCTGTCAAAAATGATTATTAACAGTAATACAAAAAAAACCACCTATAATATGCTTAAATAGGTAACAAAAAAAATGTATTACTGTTATTATTCATTATTGACAGAACTTCAGACACCTTACTCCCATAACATGAGAGGCCGCTGGTCGGCCTTTTTTCAATCGGATATGATTTTGCCGCGGCGCCTGTCAAAAGTTTTTCGCCGTGTAAAACCTCTAACATTGTTGGAGTACAGACACCTGTGGTAATTTTTTAAGCATATTATTGGTATTTTTTTTTGTATTACTGTTATTATTCATTATTGACAGAACTTCAGGCTCCTGTGGTAATAGGTTATAAGCAAGCATGTTGTTCCACAAAACGATCTGTAGTGTACATCAGTAGTCATCATAGACTGCATAGGAGTTTGGGTTTCTGTGGAAATTTTCAGTTTTGTGCGAGAAAACTTAGCTGAAAACGAAGAGCGGTAAATCTGCCGTTGCCCTCCTGTCTATTTTTTAAGCATATTAGAGGTATTTTTTTGTATTACTGTTATTATTCATTATTGACAGATCTTCAGGCTCCTGTGGTAAAAACACCTATCGATATTCTTCCTTTGATACAACCATAAATGAAAATAATTCCTCCCGAGATTTTTCAATGAATGAATAAAGTGATGGTTTGGTGATCCGACTTGGGTACGGTCACGTATCCCGGTACCCTCAATTTTTATAAGGTTTAAGAATGTGTATACAAATACAAATGTATCGAAACCGAGCCCCTGTGGCATAACTCTGTTACGTTAAGCCTACCCGATATTCGATTTCTTTGTTCCGAGTCCACAACTCCATCGAATGCAGCATCGAGCAATCTCTGGTAACATTTGTTAGGGACATGAGCAGAATCACCGACGATTGACAAACTGTCAATTACGGCTTGCGAGAGCTCCATTCAAACACGTATTTCAGAATTGCGAGTCGGTCACTCCCCCGTATTCGTGATACACCTTTTTTTAATTTCACGACATCAAAGAGTTCCAGAAAAAGGGAGCATAAATATTTTGAATTTTAGCTTAAACATTTCGCCTTTTCACTACGTATACTAGACAAGGTAGAACGAAATTTAAACAATGATTTAAATAATTTAAATAATCAATATCACTTTCATATTCTGTAATAATGCTTAATAACACACAATTAAAATTATATTATTTATATATAATAGCTCGTCCCCTTTCCCGGAAAAGCGAAAGTGAAAGCAGACATTTGGAACTTGAACAAGGGAATTTCCAACTCGCAAAGATGGCAGCCGGAAACGCCCAAGTTATATATCAGAGACATGTTGACATTGATAGGTTACTACGGGAATACACACCACATTTACGTAAGAAAATCGACCCGAGGGATATTTATAACGAGCTGCTCGACTTGACAAGAGGTGATAGGGAGAACATCATGTGTCAGACAACTGTAGAAGGAAATATTCGGGGGATGGACAAATTGTTAGAATGCATTGCTCGACGTCCTAGGTCGTGTTTCTTTGATTTTCTTATACTTTTAGAAAATAATGGTTATTCAGAAAAGTATGAGCTTATATTTAATCGCGAAGGTCTAATCAACTCGACAGAGTTATCAGAGGCAAGAAAACGATATAAAATTAGGAATAGTAGAGACCCTGTTGACACTGTACACAGTCAAAATGTACAGGGTATTGTTGATGATAGAAGAACCCATCACCTTCCTTTAAATATGCACAATATACCTAGATTGTGCAATCCGGTACCTTATCAGATGATGCCCCCTGCGACAACAAATCAACCCAACATACCCTATCATGCTGGCAGTGATCAAGGCATTGGTAGCAGTAACCCTCCTCTACTGCATCCTATGCAAAGTGCTCCTTTTGAAATGAGTAGATTTGATTCAAATTTCCGAGGGAATTGTCACCAATCAAATATTCCAGGTTTTCCTGGACAAAATGTCAATACATTTCACCAGAATCATGGGCAATTTGGTCAAGGAGGTGGAAGAATTCCACGCAGTGACAATGATTCACAAATTAAAAGTAAAGATGATTTTGTGATTGATCTAACTGGTCAGTTTGGTTCAAGACAGGCTGTGAGTGTTGTCTATGACAGAGCAGCTGTAAATCCGATAGGACAATTACCTGTTTCTACTAGCCACTACCTTCAAGTAAAGACTGATCAAAATAATGGTCATCAGAGAGTCAGAACAGATCACATGGACACCAGTCGGATGAGAGAAGGACCTAATGAAGATCAGTCTCCATTACATAATACCGCAGTGATGCAAACAGATCGACTGGTATCAGTCCCCCATCAACAAGGAGCTCCAGAGAATGCTCAAGGTAATTTTACAATTTGTTTTGTCTGAATAAAGTTGAGATAGTTCATTTTGTCTGTAAGGAATGTAAAACAACTAAATAATCTTGGTAAATATTTCTGTATTGCCACTGCCAGGCGTGACAGCTGATAGCAATATTACTGTGTTATCTTGTATAGTACATTTATTAATTGCTCAAATTTATGACAAGGAGTGAAATTGTTTTCACATTGTTCAGCCTCCATTATCTTGTGTATAATAATTTTTACTATGTTTAACACATGTATGTTATGACTCCTATAAGCTGTACTGCTTTTGGAATAAACTGAATTGAAAATGTGAATCACAAAAGTAATTATTAACAGATTACATAAAATTAACTTTGGTAAATAACGCACCCAATGTTAATTTTTGCAATTCACATTCATTAACTATATTCATAATGTGCTGTTTACTTATATTCCATGTTATGATAAATTTGCCATCATTAGGGCGGGTGAAAAGGGAGAAAATTCAATTGCAGCAGAAAAATTCCCAGTATACAGTAATGGGACAGGCTAGAAATTCAAATACAAGGTACATTTTAATACTTTTGGTATTATTCATGATAACAACTAAGGGCTACGAAACAAATACCTGGATTTAGGGATCTACCATATCTGGAGCGAGTACAATGGCTAAATCTACTTACTTTGAGTAACAGACATGCAAGAGGTGATTTTATAGTTAAGTATACAAGATAACGAGTGGTGTCTATGATCAAAACGCATCAGATTTCCTTAAATTATGGCAAGAATATCCCGAAAGACATGGTACCTATATCTTAAAATCAGTTATGAATTTTAGTTTCATATATAATATAATATTTTAAGATAATACAATATTTTATTACTGACGATAATTTAATGCATGTAGGTTCATTAATATTTGAACGTCCGGAGAGCTTGTAGGAAGGGGATGCCACAATCACCTGCTCCTTGGACTGCCCCAAAAACCTGTGATATTCTGTTTAATATTTTTAGTAATATAATTATGTATGTTGTACTGTAATATGTATGTCAACTGTCATGTTACATGTGATGTCTATGATCTATTTCCTGAAATAAACATTATTAAGGGGGCATTCCAAAAAACTTCACCCACAACATTCAAACATTGAAATAAGGAAAAAACTTCTTTTCTCTACCAATAGTAAAATTATGGAACAGTCTTCCAGAGGATGTGATATCAGCACCATTAGTAAATACATTTAAGAACAGACTCAATAACCACTTGATTGATCAGGAAATTATTTATAATAACAGAGTTAACATAACTTGTTAAAAATGTAATGTCCATACCCAAACTTTCATATAAATTTACATGAAATATATATATATGTATTTAAAAAAGAAAACATGTTTGATTCCGGTGGAGAGGATCATACAGATCCTGTATCGGAAAATAAACTAAACTAAACTGTCAAGAATAAAATAAATTTACATGGCAGGTACTGAATAAACCAAATCAAATTAAGTGATTAATAATAACGGAAGCCTACTGTGAATATATGGTATTGTCACAATACAAAGCCACCTCTGTGGCGATCAATTACGAAACTTAACGGCACCGTAGCATGTACTAATTGGTTCTAATTGGATAATCAATGAAAGGGCTTTACATATAACTGAATTAGCTACAATCACAATTACACTTACAGCATACAGTTATAACAGATCATCAAGAAAAGTGATAAAGATGAAATAAAGGAACATTATTGATAAACATATGTCGCCCTGGACACAGCCAGGGTTAGTAAGCTCATTTGGTAGAGCGTACGCCTAGTAAGCCAGAGGTCCCAGGTTCAACTCCTAGTGGAGGCATTGAAAAAATAATGACCTATGTTGCATATATTACACAGAACAGATAATTGATAGCCTAATGATACTATTACACCTACAATACATGATAGGCTAGTTACAAAAGAAAAGATCAGCTGATTTGACAAGCAGGGACACACATGGTAGTCTAACTAATAATGCAATCTATGCACACAATAATAATGTTTAACCCAGTCCAGTTCTGCTAACATTCTATAATCTGAACTTGTAATCCTTCATTTTACTACACTCAGCAAGTCACATCATCAAAACAAGCTCACCAACTCCATCTTTACATATCTACACATATCCTTTATATGTAGATGAACAGAGAACTTTCAATAGTCATGGATTCAATCTTGAAACTCGGGAGGGGAATTAACCCTTTCACCACTGTAGACCATAATGGACTTGTCCAGATCAATGTATGGTAGATTTTATTAGCTCACCGGGTTCAAAGGACCAAGGTGAGCTTATGCCATACCGTGGCGTCCGTCGTCCGTCCGTCCGTCAGGTCGTCCGTCCGTCAACAATTTCTTTAAACGACTTCTTAACCACTGATTGGAATTTAACTAAATTTGACTGGAAGCATCCCTAGGTGGTGGGGATTCGAACTGTACAAATGGTGGGGCTGACCCCCCAGGGGGCTGAGGGGCGGGGCAAAAAGGGGGCAATTTGGCTATATTGCTTTAAGCGACATCTCCTCTGGAACTAAGAGATGGATATCAACCAAATTTGACTGAAAGCATCCCTATAAGGTGATGATTCAAAATTGTACAAATGGTGTGGCTGACCCCCATGGCGGCTGAGGGGCGGGGCCAAAAGGTTTAATTAGCTATATTACCCTAAGCGACTTCTTCTCTGGAACTAAGAGATAGATATCAACCATATTTGACTGGAAGCATCCCTAGGTGGTGGGGATTCGAACTGTACAAATGGTGGGGCTGACCCCCCAGGGGGCTGAGGGCTGGTCCAAAAGGGGGCAATTTGGCTATATTGCTATAAACGACTTCTTCCGTAGAACTATACCATGGATATTGATCATATTTGGTCGGAAGCATTCATGGGAGGCAGGGATTCAAAAATGTACAAATGGTTGGGCTGACCCCCGGGCTAAGGGGTGGGGCCAAAAAAAATGTATTACTTTAGAAATGGTTGAGATCCCCACCATATAACCATATATATAATTGCTGAGTATAAAGAGAGGAATGCACATTTTCTTCCAGGATAGCCCTAGGGTCTGGCCCCACCCTTGGAGACTTAACCCCTGGGTCATAACTTTGAAATGGTTAAGATCCCCACCCCAAAACTATATATACAATTGTTGGGCATAAAGAGACGAATGCAGTCATGATATTAGAATTGACTCCAGGGTCTGTCCCACCCTTGCAGACTTAACCCCTGGGTCATAACTTTGAAACGGTTGAAATCCCCAACCCAAAACTATATATACAAACGCTGGGCAAGAAGAGACAAATGCAGTCATGATATTATAATTGATCCTGGGGTCTGGCCACAACCCTAGGGACCTAGTTTCTGAGTAACAGCTTGGAAACAGTTGAGATCCCCACCCCATAACCATACATAAAATTGCTGGGCATAAAAAATCAAATACAGATATGCTACAAGGATTGGCCTCGGGGTCTGGCATATTCCCTTGGATCTCATTTGGAGAATATTTTGCCATGATTGCTTAGATATCCAGGTAAGCGATACAGGCCCTCTGGGCCTCTTGTTAAAGTTACATAGGGTTGAAAGGGTTAAGAGGAATGTATTATTTTAAAATATAAAAGCTTATCATATATATATCTGCTTGTATACCAGCAGGATTGCATATTTAAAATTCTCCTTTTAGATGATAGAGTTATTGACGAACTGACTGATGAAGTCTTCAGCAAGTTGGTGGAGTCATTGAGTAATGGTGGCGAGTCCCCATCGTGGAAGAAAGTTGGACGAAAGGCTAAACTAACAAGACGTGAGATGAAATCAATCGGTGAGGAAAATGTTTGCTTTAAAAAATCTTGCTGTTTAAACATTGATGTGATTCAATTGTATATATTTGTATATTTTCTTACATATTGAAAATGTCCCTTCTTACACATAATGTAGCAGATTAAGAACGAAAATGCAAAGCCAGACCAGTATGCGAGTCTAGAAACCTCGCAACTTGAGACAGATGCTCAATTGAGCTACCTGGTCGCCATTAAACAATAAACCCAGTCCAGTCCCGCTTTGTTCCTCTTTCCTTTTTTAAGTCTTCAACCCCCCGGGGTACACCCAATGCTTATAACAAAGGTTGGTCACTGTTATGATGTTTGCATGTGTGCATATGGCCATCGACGGAATGACAAAAAGAAGCATATGTTCCTCTTAACTCCCGTACCTGGGGTCACCAACACAGGGACTGGATATTAATTAACAACTACAAGGTAATCCTTGTCATTCCAACTGAACACTGGTCAGATGCGACCATTTACCATGGGTACTGTGGAATTTTACGAGGAATGAGTGTTTCTTTTGGTTTGGCATTTTGACGCTCTAAAAAAGTAATAGTTTTTTTTATCAGGCTACCATTGTCAATTACATTACAATTCCCTCCTTCAGAAATTGTTTTTTATCCCATGCCGCAGCGTCCGTCGTCCGTCAACTTTTAAAACTTTAAAACTTTAAAATGCTACTAGTCCTGAACGGCTCAGAGGATTTTGACCAAATTTGGTCTGGAGCATCATTGGCTAAAGGGTTCTCAGTTTTGTATAAACGGATGGTATGGTCCCCCTGGGGGCAGAGGGGCGGGGCCAAATAGGGGGGAAATAGGTAAATCTTTAAAAATCTTCTTCTTCTCAACCAATCAAAGGATTTTGACCAAATTTGTGCTAGAGCATCTTTGGACAACGGAGCCTCAAGTTTGTATAAACAGAGGGTGTGGCCTCCCTGGGAGCATAGGGGCGGGGCCCAAAAGGGGAAATAGAGGATTTTTTTCTCTCCTACTATATACAAGTGAAGGGATTTAAACCAAATGCAGTCTGAAGCATGCTTAGGGACAAAAGAATCAATTTTGTTTAAACTGAGGTGTGTGGACCCCCTTCTTTAGGGCAGATGAGTGGGGCCCATTAGGGGAAATAGAGGAAAACATTAAAGATCCTTCTCCTTCTGTACCGTTGAAGGGATTTTAACCTAACCAAACTTGTTCTAGAGAATCTTTGGGCAAAGGGAATTGAATATATATAAATGGAAGATGTGCCCCCTCCAACCAGGCAGAGGAGCAGGGCCCAATAGGGGAAATAGAGAAAAATATTTTCCCTTCTGTACAAATGAAGGGATTTAAACCAAATGTGGTCTGAAGCATGCTTAGGGGAAATAAACTCAATTTGTTTAATTTGTATAAAAAGGTGCATGTGATGCCCAATAGGGGAAATAGAGGAAAATTGGGACATAACATGGAAACTCATTTTCTTGGTGTCTTTCCCACCAAAACAGATTTATGTGTAGTTCTTCTTGCAACTTTGTTTCTTGTACTCCTTTGATAAACCTGAATGGTATTCAGCAGGTTTTAAATTGAAAAATAAAATACCAGGTGAGCTATTAAGGCCCCTGGGCCTCTTGTTTTTAGATTGACACATACATTTAATCATGAAATTAAAATCAATATACAAAATTACCACTAAATTCAAATTATTCAGCAATGAAAATGTAAATCTATCCATCAGTCAGGTTATTCAAATTTATCCATAACTCTTGAAATTTAATATAATTGCACATATTTTCAGACTAAAGGTTCACAGTGTGCAATCTTTCAAGCATGATAAAGATAAGTTGTCATCGCTACAGTATTGTCTATATGTAAAAGATCTACAGTGTATTTGATCCTGAGTCAATATAAACAAAAATTAACACTATTTATAAAGTTGAAAACACTTGGCATTGTCCAAACTGGTTATGTCACTTTCACTGTTCTAACACAACAATGTACACTGAACACAATTAAAATGTATATTTTCACATTACTTACTTACTTACTGCCCTGTACGCCCAGTGGCGTGTAGGGCAGCAACGATATTTTCACATTACACAGAAGTTATAGTTTTTGTTTCACCGCACATCCAGATCTTGTGATATATGGAGATGTCTGACTACTCAGCGGCAGAGATACAGATACAGGCTTGACTACACTGGGAGTAGTTACTTGTTTTGGGGGGCTATCTAGTAAGGATGCCTTGAATTGGGGTTTAGGGCCTATGTTGTTCTCAACATCTTGATCATCGATCAAAATAAGGGGTTCAGTCTGGGGAATAGGGTCAGTGGAATTATAGTTACCTGTGTTTTGTGGCGTTTTGCAGGGGTAGCCAGAATGAGGCATCAGTTACACCTATACATGGCGTTTTCTGGTGTAACCACATTATACAACCTATCGTCGTGTTGCTTAGTAACGGTGGCTTGCTGCCAAAGGCCATTTTTACCTTTTATATTGATATGACCATAAATCTGATTAAGTGTTCTCAGTGGTACTGCTTTGGCATCAAACTATTTCTTTTCCTTCATGTGACTACATTTCATAGCTTCGCATACCCAGCATACATCTAGGGTTTTAGGCTTCAAGAGCTCTAGCGTGGTGGGAGAGTTGAACGAATTCACCTTCCCACGAGTAGTTGTGAAGAACTGAAACCAATACTTGGTGAAGTGGTCCTATATTCAAGAAGAGCTATGAATGGATCATGCTAAACAGATCTCACAGTTTTGTATGACTTCTTGAAAATGGAGTATTAATTACTAACTTAATAAGTTAATCAAGGCATGACCTAGCTGAGGCCTTAAATAAGTGGTGAATCAGTTCTCACAACAAAAAACTCAACCAGCTGGTCAATTGTCATATTATGGTACTTACCAGTGAGTTTACAACAGCCCATAGCTGCATGTGAATGATAAATAATTCTTGTATGGCCATATAAGTTATGTTACATAATTATGTATTCTATCTGTAAATTCAAAAATTATCTATGCCAATATGTTGCATACATGTATATAGCCTAGCTTAGGAAGTGTATTTTGACACAATTATTTTCTATTTGTAATATCACATTTTGCTACAGAATCTGACTCTTCTACAAGACCTGCTGAAGTCATGCTAAATATACTAATTGACAAGTATGGCATGACAATTAAAAAACTTGGGGACATTCTACGACAGACCGGATGCGTTGAGGCTCTACAAATTCTTGAAGGTATGATATTGTGCTTTCTTATATTAATGGTTTAAGCTACATTTGTACTTGTATTATGGCTGACTTGAGAGCTCAGAATCCAACATCATACCTGACATCCTTCAAATATATATACATGTATCCCCATACAGTCTGTAGCAGTACATGTTTATCATTCTTCACATATATATATATACATTTTTATCCCTCGAGCTGGCCCTAAAAGTGTTATTATTAACACATGTAGTACCGGGTACATGTATATGCTATGTAATAAACAAGATTTATATACTAGTAGTGCCCTATAAATTGAAAAATAATATCTTAAAGTTATTGTTACAGAATAGATCACAAAGCCATAGCCACATTTGTTAAGGTGAAAGTGTGACAATTATTAAGGATGTACTCCTCTGAGAAGTCAAACATTTCTTGTATTTAACTTTTTTTGTTTATACAATTGATAAAAATCATATTTCTTCTGAATTATGAAAGAAAAAATTCTTTAACCTATATCTTTATTTACAATATACACACAATATACAAAAGCTATTGGATCTGTACACTATACACACAATATACACAAGGTATTGAACTTGTACACTATACACACAATATACACCAGGTATTAACCTGTACACTATACACACAAGATACACAAATTATTGAACCTGTACACTATACACGCAATATACACAAGGTATTGAACCTGTACACCATACACACAATATACACAAGGTATTAACATGTACACTATACACACAATATACACGTACACAAGGTATTGGATCTGTACACTATACGCACAATATACACAAGGGATTGAACCTGTACACTATACACACAATACACACAAGGTATTGAACCTGTACACTATATACACACAATATACACAAGGTATTAACCTGTACCCTATACACACAATATACACACAATATACAGATACAATTGATAAAAATCATATTTCTTCTGAATTATGAAAGAAAAAATTCTTTAACCTATATCTTTATTTACAGTATACACACAATATACAAAAGCTATTGGCTCTGTACACTATACACACAATATACACGTACACAAGGTATTGGATCTGTACACTATACGCACAATATACACAAGGGATTGAACCTGTACACTATACACACAAAATACACACAATATACACAAGGAATTAAACCTGTACACTATACACACAAATTACACACCATATACACAAATTATTGAACCTTTACACTATACACACAATATACACACAATATACAGATACAATTGATAAAAATCATATTTCTTCTGAATTATGAAAGAAAAAATTCTTTAACCTATATCTTTATTTACAGTATACACACAATATACAAAAGCTATTGGCTCTGTACACTATACACACAATATACACTATACACACAATATACACAACGTATTGATCCTCTACACTATACACACAATATACATGTACACAAGGTACTGGATCTGTACACTATACACACAATATACATGTACACTAGGTATTGGATCTGTACACTATACAGACAATATACACAAAGTATTGAACCTATACACTATACACACAATATACACAGGGTATTGAGCCTGTACACTATACACACAATATACTCAAGGTATTGAACTTGTTCACTATACACACAATATACACAAGGTATTAACCTGTACCCTATACACACAATATACACAAGGTATGAACCTGTACACTATACACACAATAGACACAAGGTATTGAACCTGTACACTTTACACACAATTTACATTAAGTATTGAACCTGTACTATACACACAATATACACACAATATACAGATACAATTGATAAAAATCATATTTCTTCTGAATTATGAAAGAAAAAATTCTTTAGCCTATATCTTTATTTACAATATACACACAATATACAAAAGCTATTGGCTCTGTACACTATACACACAATATACAAAAAGGTATTGAACCTGTACACTATACACACAATATACACACAATATACACAAGGTATTAAACCTGTACACTATACACACAAAATACACACCATATACACAAATTATTGAACCTTTACACTATACACACAATATACACACAATATACAGAAGGTATTGAATCTGAACACTATACACACAATATACACAAAGTATTGAACCTGTACACTATAAACACAATATACACAAGGTATTGAACCTGTACACTATGCACACAATATACACAAGGTATTGAGCCTGTACACTATACACACAATATAGACAAAGTATTGAACTTGTACACTACACACACAATATACACAAGGTATTGAACTTGCACACTATACACACAATATACACAGAGTATTGAACTTGTACACTATACACACAATATACACAAAGTATTGAACTTGTACACTATACACACAATATATACAAAGTATTGAACCTGTACACTATACACACAATATACACAAGGTATTGAACCTGTACACTATACACACAATATACATGTACACAAGGTATTGAACCTGTACACTATACACACAATATACAGAAGGTATTGAACCTGTATACTATACACACAATATACACAAGGTATTTAACTTGTACACTATACACACAATATACACAAGGTATTGAACCTGTACACTTTACACACAATTTACATTAAGTATTGAACCTGTACACTATACACACAATATACACAAAGTATTGAACTTGTACACTATACACACAATATACACAAGGTATTGAACCTGTAAAATATACACACAATATACACAAGGTATTAACATGTACACTATACACACAATATACACAAAGTATTGAACCTGTACACTATACACACAATATACACAAGGTATTGAACTTGTTCACTATACACACAATATACACAAGGTATTGAGCCTGTACAATATACCCCTACCCTGTTATTGATTATTTGTAGGGTCACAACTGTGGCTGATTTGAACCTTGTTTTCATAAAAATCTTAATTTTTTGTAATAAATGCAATCTAAGTTACAACCTTAATTTCTGTTGACAGGAACAGTCGGGTTACACCGAAACATTGAGGTCTCGGATGACGAAAATGTGAAAATAAACAACTTGGACCATCTTGAAGGAAGATATCCTCAACCCAAGGATGAAACTTCAAGTGATCTCAACACAAAGTCATCAGAAAATACAGGATCATTCCCTGAGGAGCAGAGTTTAGAAAAAGTGATTGAGAATATATCTGCTCCTTTTTGTAGAGAACCCCAGGAACATGAGCATTTAAAATGTGAAGCTCATCAAGAAATATTTCCAACAATGTCTGAAGACTGCTCAAAAGACATGAAAAGTGTCCAGCCTAGTGAGGTAATTCCATCTGGTGATGAAAATCAAAATCAGGGGGAAAGAACTGTTGAGCCAATAGAAGCGGTAACTGACCAAGAGAATAAAAATACAAGAATGGACGTAGTTGGTCTTGCAGAAGATATTTCTGCCAATTTAAAAGAAGGCAATGTTGTTGATGAAGCAATACCCAACGTTTCTACAGTGTCCATCATGTCAAACAAAATGCAAAATTCAAGTTTCGATTCGACACAGGATAATGTACGTGAAGAATTTCCAGCTGAATTATCAGGAGTGCAAGCACAAGGAGACGCCAACATCTCACATAGTGAAAAGCCAACGTGTCAGGAATTGGTACAACTTCAACGAGAAATTCAGACACAACCAAACATGTCAAGCTTCCGGGATCTCCAGCACAGCATTCCAGCTAACCAAAGAGAAGGTGTTAGCCCTTTGTCTGTATCAGGACGAGACCAAGGCATGGATGTAGTTGGTCCTGCAGGAGATATTTCTGCCAATTCAACAGAAGGCAATGTTGTTGATGAAGCAATGCCCAACGTTTCTACAGTGTCCGTCATTTCAAACAAAATGCAAAATTTAAGTTTCGATTCGACCCAGGATAATGAACGTGAAGAATTTCCAGCTGAATTATCAGGAGTGCAAGCACAAGGAGACGCCAACATCTCACATAGTGAAAAGCCACCGTGTCAGGAATTGGTACAACTACAACGAGAAATTCAGACACAACCAAACATGTCAAGCTTCCGTGATCTCCAGCACAGCATTCCAGCTCATCAAAGAGAAGGTGTTAGCCCTTTGTCTGTATTGGGACGAGGAGACCAAGGTTTAGTTGGGAACACCAAATCTGATCGCCAGAGTTTTCAAAACGAACATGAAAAAGATGTGAAGCATGCTGACATGAGCTTGGAGTGTAGTGCTGTTGATAAGTCAATTTTGTTAAAGAATACAATTTCTGAAAATGTTTTTACACATGAGCAGCAGTTGATTCAACCAAATCCTGGATTTGCTTCACAAGAAATGTCTGTTTCTGAAGTGGGTGATGGTGAAAGTTTTTTTAACAATAAGGCTGTTTTTGATAACCATACTGCATCAATGAATAATAGGGATGTGTCCACTTTCAAAGCAGAAGGTGATGCAAACTGCAAGCAAAGTGCGCTCCCTCCAAATATGGATCACAAAAACTTTCAAAGAGATATAGAAACACAGCAACGCACATCTGAAGATTGCGGTGAGCAGACCCAGCAAAACAATTCAACCACTGCTGATCCCCAAGCTCCACGAAGGGAAACTGAGTATTCACTACACACTGGGAGCTTCAGAGATGTGCAAAACTCCGTCCCAGAGTACAGAAGTCAGGACTTGGAAAATCCGAACTCCAGTCTACCTAGGAATGTGGACAGCCTTGTCATGGATGAAGAAGAAACTTTTCTGAAAGAGGAGAACAGACCTTTATAATGGATTACAACCAGACTTTGAAATGAATTGACCAAGTTTTTAATATGTGATTGAGAAATGAAGGAACTTAAGTCCCATCAGGCTGTGTGAAAGACATGCATTATACCAACATGTTGTGTTTATAAGTCACCTTGTTATCTTTGGCTGATGGGAATCTCCCTTAAGCTCAGTGGTAGGGTTTCCAACTGGAGAGTCTAGGGTTGGTTTGAACCCCAGTGATGGCATGTAATTTTTCACTCCCTGTCTTCTATTATTATTTTTTGTGCCTCAGTAGCCATGATCGCTAAGAGGCACAGTCATTTCTACTGTGTGCAATCAAGTGTGAGCCTCAGACCACTGACCATTTCGGTTCGATCCCCAGCGGTGGCGGAAAAAGAGAGTGTTGTCTGATAAGGTTATTCTTAATTTAATTCTTTTTTTGTTTAACAAGGATTACGAACAGCCAGAGGGTTATGAGTCTCTTTCCTCAGTTAGTTGTTATCCCTGATGGCAGAATGGGTTTCCCCTACCACGAAAATAACACTTGTTCCCTTAGCGGCGTCGTAATAAAAACCTCTACAGAGCTTATGTTTGTTATTGACAATGTACACACGTTAAATAAAGATTATTATTATTATAAGTTGGCGCCATTGACGCTTCCTGTTAAAGTTAGTGGAGATCTTTTGTCATGGAGTTAATGATGAACCTGAGTTGCAGCAGTCTTCGGTGACAAATATTTTACTAGAGAAGACAGTTATAATAGTTTACTAGAGAAGACAGTTATAATATTTTACTAGAGAAGACAGTTATAATAAAACTTGTTGATAACAAACGCAAGGGGACCTATTAGTTCTCTCATATCAAATTCATCATGTTGTAAGATATCAACAAGAATATTAAGTACCAGAGATAAATGTATGACTTTGTCACCACCAAGAATTTGATATAATCATATCATGATACTGTAAAAGTAGGATTTTTTGTGTGTAAAAATGTTTATTTTGTGACTTTTCAAATTGAAATGTGATGAGGAAACTTTCCTGTTGGCAACATGTCTAAATTGTACATGTATGATGTATCTATGCTTTATATCTCTATATCTAGTGTGGATATTTTTGCACTAATTTATTCAATGCAGAAAATTGGAGCATTGCCACACAACAATAATTTCCTTTTTTACACTTTTTCAAAAGTATTTATGTAGATTTTTTAATTTTATTTACATCTGTTTAGTTTATGCATGGTTGTTCATAAATTGTAGTTTATTTATCGAGTATTGATCCTGTCACTAGTATATGTGACTAAATCAGCACAATATCTACACATTAAGTTCCTACATGTACCTGTGCAGATTCAAAAAAAGAATAGGAGTGCTGTATCATGTAGGCCACATCCCACTTCATGTTATTGTATGGAGTGATCCATGTTGTCCTATTCTTACTATATACTGGTGGTTGGGACCAGTATCTTTTTTTTCAGTCCTACTGACTCTTTTCATGTCTCCCTAAACACCCTTCTTCATTTGCTGCAAAAGGGGCATTGAACTCTCATCTCCATAGATACCCGTCCTCATGTGACCGTATCTGTTGTGGGGACATTAAACCCCCATCTCCCTAGGTACCCGTCATCATGTGACCTTATCTGTTGTGGGGACATTAAACTCTCATCGCCCTAGGTACCCGTCTTCATGTGACCTTATCTGTTGTAGGGACATTAAACTCTCATCTCCCTAGGTACCCGTCTTCATGTGACCTTATCTGTTGTTGGGACATTATAAACCCTTGTCTCCCTAGGTACCCGTCTTCATGTGACCTTATCTGTTGTAGGGACATTAAACTCTCATCTCCCTAGGTACCCGTCTTCATGTGACCTTATCTGTTGTGAGGACATTAAACTCTCATCTCCCGAGGTACCCGTCCTCATGTGACCTTATCTGTTGTGGGGACATTAAACTCTCATCTCCCTAGGTACCCGTCTTCATGTGACCTTATCTGTTGTGGGGACATTAAACCCCCATCTCCCTAGGTACCCGTCTTCATGTGACCTTATCTGTTGTGGAGACATTAAACTCTCATCTCCCTAGGTACCTGCCTCCATATGACCTTATCTGTTGTGGGGTCATGAAACCCTTGTCTCCCTATTTACCCGTCGTCATGTGACCTTACCTGTTGTGGGGACATTAAACCCCCATCTCCCTAGGTACCCGTCCTCATGTGACCTTACCTGTTATGAGGACATTAAACTTTCGTCTCCCTAGGTACCCGTCGTCATGTAACCATTGTATCTGTTGTCAGGACATTAAACTCTCATCTCCCTAGGTACCCGTCTCCATGTGACCTTATCTGTTGTTGGGACATTAAACTCTTGTCTCCCTAGGTACCCATCAACATGTGACCTTATCTGTTGTCAGGAAATTAAACTCTCATCTTCCTAGGTACCTGTCTCCATATGACCTTATCTGTTGTCAGGACATTAAACTCTCATCTCCCTAGGTACCCGTCTCCATATGACCTTATCTGTTGTGGGGACATTAAACACTCGTCTCCCTAGGTACCCGTGGGCATGTGACCTTATCTGTTGAGGGGACATTAAACTCTCATCTCCGTAGGTCCCCGTCTCCAGTGACCTTATCTGTTGCGGGGACATTAAACCCTCGTCTCCCTAGGTACCCGGGGTCATGTGACCTTATCTGTTGTGGGGACATTAAACTCTCATCTCCGTAGGTACCCGTCTCCAGTGACCTTATCTGTTGTGGGGACATTAAACCCTCGTCTCCCTAGGTACCCGTGGTCATGTGCCCTTATCTGTTGTGGGGACATTAAACTCTCACCTCCGTAGGTACCCGTCTCCAGTGACCTTATCTGTTGCGGGGACATTAAACCCTCGTCTCCCTAGGTACCCGTGGGCATGTGACCGTATCTGGTGTGGGGACATTAAACTCTCATCTCCCTAGGTACCCGTCTCCATATGACCTTATCTGTTGTGGGGACATTAAACCCTCGTCTCCCTAGGCACCCATCTCCATGTGACCTTATCTGTTGTGGGGACATTAAACTCTCATCTCCCTAGGTACCCATCTCCATATGACCTTATCTGTTGTGGGGACATTAAACCCTCGTCTCCCTAGGTACCCATCTCCATATGACCTTATCTGTTGTGGGGACATTAAACTCTCATCTCCCTAGGTACCCGTCTTCATGTTACCTTACCTGTTGTGAGGACATTAAACTCTCATCTCCCTATAGGTACCTGTCTCCATGTGACCTTAGCTGTTCTGAGGACCCGTCTTCTTCGGTACCTGTCTCCATTTGAAGATTGATTTTTAAGATTGCAAAAGGCATGCTATGTTGAATTTCTATTACTGTTTGTATACTTCTGTGATTCTTTTGCAATATGTTGCTGTATATCTATTGTTGGTCAAGGGCTAATTTGTTAATAATCTGCAGTTTCAATTTTTATAATTTTCACCTTTTAAAGTAATGAACGAGAATGATACATCAGACTGTGTTAATTAAGTTATGGAGATGATCACTGATGGTATTTATGTGATTCCCAATACTGCGGATATGAATTTATAATTCAGAAATCGCTGTAGATTAGTTAGCTGATACACTATCATACGAATCGATAAACTGACTACTAATGCCTCTCCATGTGTGTATTATCTAAGTCATGTAATGGACTCGCTGACTCTTTTTTATAGTCTCTCAATAAACTGGCATTTTGTGCTTTTTCATGTGTAAATTTGCAAAGTAATGTCACAGTATTGTTGCTCTTACATTTGGATTTATAATGTCAAAAATAGATCTACTTATCAATGAATTACTTGTTCAGATTAAAGACCATAGAGTATTGTAACGCACCAAGGTTTTGGGACGTTGTGTTCCATTTTATAACCGACCGTGCATCCTTAAAATCATCCCCAAACCTTGATGCTTACAGTATACGTGTTGTTACCGTACTTGGATTTAGTCTAAGCCCCCCATAGCACCTGGTCTATATCTAAGTACAGTACGTGTTCATGGGTTACCGTCTAAATCTTTCCTTTGTTCATTTTCTGCCCTAATTTCATCATCGACTTTGTCTGATTTTGAATTTATTTTGTTGTGAAAGCAGCTTGTATTTTAATCGGACGTTAGATCTTATTCTTTCTATACATATGCACCATATATATATATATATAAAATGAATATTGCGCGATAATTTGTAAATTATTTGCAGTTTGCAAGCTAACATTTACCGTCATCTAAATCATTTAGTAACGAATGAAGATGATAGTACAGAGTGTATCTGGACACTGTAATGTTGCTTCTCTTTCATTAAATTACCTTTGATCACAGTAATGTGGTTGGATCGTGAAGACAGTCACGTGACTAGATAATAACAGTGAACTATGTAGCCCGATGTTGATCAGTTCCAAATTATGTGGCTGGATGTTGAACAGTTCCTAATGTAACTCGATGATGAACAGTTCCTAATGTAGCTTGATGTTGAACAGTTCCTAATGTTGCTGGATGTTGAACAGTTCCTAATGTTGGTGAATTTTGAACAGTTCCTTTTGTTGGTGGATGTTGAACAGTTCCTGATATTGCTGGATGTTGAACAGGGACCTATGTGTCTGGATGTTGAACAGAACCTAATGTTGCTGTATGTTGAACCGTTCCTAATGTTGCTGGATGTTGAAAAGGTAACTATGTGGCTGGATGTTGACCAGTTCCTAATGTTGGTGAATTTTGAACAGTTCCTTTTGTTGCTGGATGTTGAACAGTTCCTGATATTGCTGGATGTTGTACAGTTACCTATGTGTCTGGATGTTGAACAGAACCTAATGTTGCTGTATGTTGAACAGTTCCTAATGTTGCTGGATGGTGAACAGTTCCTGATATTGCTGGATGATGAACAGTTACCTATGTGTCTGGATGTTGAACAGAACCTAATGTTGCTGTATGTTGAACCGTTCCTAATGTTGCTGGATGTTGAACAGTTCCTGATATTGCTGGATGTTGAACAGTTACCGATGTGTCTGGATGTTGAACAGTTCCTAATGTAACTAGATGATGAACAGTTCCTAATGTAGCTTGATGTTGAACAGTTCCTAATGTTGCTGGATGCTGAACAGTTCCTAATGTTGCTGGATGCTGAACAGTTCCTAATGTTGCTGGATGCTGAACAGTTCCTAATGTTGCTGGATGCTGAACAGTTCCTAATGTTGCTGGATGCTGAACAGTTCCTAATGTTGCTGGATATTGAACAGGTAACTATGTGCCTGGATGTTGAACAGTTCCTAATGTAGCTCGCTGATGAACAGTAACCTATGTTAATTGATTTTGAACATTTTCTGTAGCTAGATGTTGAACAGTTCATAGTGTAGCTGGATGTTGAACAGTTCTTTTTTGGCTGGATTTTGGACGGTTATTTATGTTAATTGATTTTGAACAGTTCTTCTGTAGCTGGATTTCGAACAGTTATTTATGTGCCTGGATTTCGAACAGTTATTTATGTGGCTGGGTTTGGAATAGTTTTTCTGTAGCTGGATGTTGAACAGTTACCTATGTGGCTGGATTTTGAACAATTCCCAATGTGGCTGGATGTTGAACAGGTAACTATGTGGCTGGATGTTGAAAAGGTAACTATGTGGCTGGATGTTGACCAGTTCCTAATGTTGGTGAATTTTGAACAGTTCCTTTTGTTGGTGGATGTTGAACAGTTCCTAATGTTGGTGGATGTTGAACAGTTCCTGATATTGCTGGATGTTAAACAGTTACCTATGTGTCTGGATGTGGAACAGTACCTAATGTTGCTGTATGTTGAACAGTTCCTAATGTTGCTGGATGCTGAACAGTTCCTAATGTTGCTGGATTTTAAACAGTTCCTAATGTTGCTGGATGGTGAACAGTTCCTGATATTGCTGGATGTTGAACAGGGACCTATGTGTCTGGATGTTGAACAGAACCTAATGTTGCTGTATGTTGAACAGTTCCTAATGTTGCTTGATATTGAACAGTTACCTATGTGGCTGGATTTTGAACAATTCCCAATGTGGCTGGATGTTGAACAGGTAACTATGTGGCTGGATGTTGACCAGTTCCTAATGTTGGTGAATTTTGAACAGTTCCTTTTGTTGCTGGATGTTGAACAGTTCCTAATATTGCTGGATGTTGAACAGTTCCTAATGGTGCTGGATGTTGAACAGTTCCTGATATTGCTGGATGTTGAACAGTTACCTATGTGTCTGGATGTTGAACAGTACCTAATGTTGCTGTATGTTGAACAGTTCCTAATGTTGCTGGATGTTGAACAGTTCCTAATGTTGCTGGATGTTGAACAGTTCCTAATGTTGCTGGATGTTGAACAGGTAACTATGTGGCTGGATGTTGAACAGTTCCTAATGTTGCTGGATGTTGAACAGGTAACTATGTGGCTGGATGTTAAACAGCACCTAATGTTGCTGATTGTTGAACAGTTACCTATGTGGCTGGATGTTGAACAGTTCCTAATGTTGCTGGATGTTGAACAGTTACCTATGTGGCTGGATGTTGAACAGTTCCTAATGTTGCTGGATGTTGAACAGTTCCTAATGTTGCTGGATGTTGAATAGTTCCTAATGTTGCTGGATGTTGAACAGTTCCTAATGTTGCTGGATGTTGAATAGTTCCTAATGTGGCTTGATGTTGAACAGTTCCTAATGTTGCTGGATTTTGAACAGTTAATTAATTTTTAATATCTGACAACAAATAAGAAATAAAACAAATCAAATTCTAGCAATCGTCCTTTTTGGTATAGATGATAAAGCGCTGGGGTCGAAATGAATTGGAAATGAATACAGGGGAAAAAGAAGTGGTAAGGCAGCTGGTGACCCCATACCTTCTGAT